GAAGGGTCTAGACCCGAAACGTCAGCTTTCCTGCTCTTCTGATGCTGTTTGGCCTGCTGTGTTCATCCAGCTCTACACCTTGTTATATCTTTAATCAAGAAGTTGGTAGTGTAGAAAGTTGTCAAAGGATACAACAGGATATAGATCTGTTGCAGATATGGGCAGAGAAATGGCAGATGAAGTTTAATCCGGGTAAGTGAGAGGTGCTGCACTTTGGGAGATCAAATGTTAAGGAAATGTATACAGTTAATGGCAGGACCCTGAACAGCAATGATGTACAGAGGAATCTTGGGGTTCAGGTCCATAGCTCCCTGAAAGTAACCACAGAAGTGCCTGGGGTGGTAAAGAAGGTGTATGGCATGCTTGCCTTTTATTGGTCGGCAAATTGAGTACAAGAGTCAGGATGTCATGTCGCAGCTTTATCAAACTTCGGTTTGGCTCCACTTAGAGTATTGCGTTCAATTCTGGTTGCCACATTACAGTAAGGATGTGCAGACTTTAGAGCGGGTGCAGAAGAGGTTAGCCAGCATTAGCTATAAGGAGAGGCTAGAAGAGCTCTGGTTGTTTTCTCTGGAGCAGCGGTGGCTGAGGGGAGACTTGATAAAAGTCTATAATATTGAGATGCATAAATAGGGTTGATAGTCAAGAGATGATGAGAACTGCCGATGCTAGTTGATAGTCAGAATCTCTTTCCCAGAATTGAAATGCCTATTACTAGGGGGCATGCGTTTACGGTGAGAGGGGGAAAGTTTTTTACATTGAGAGTGGTAGAGTCTGGAACACTGCCAGAGGTGGTAGTGGAGGCAGATACAATAGGAGTGTTTAAGAGATTTTTAGATAAGCGCATGAATATGCAAGGAATGGAGGGCTATGGACCAAAGTCAGGCAGAAGGGATTGGTTTAATTTGGCATCATGTTCTGCACAACATCGTGAGCTGAAGTCCTGTTCCTGTGCTGTACAGTTCTGTGTTAAGTCCACATAATCAATGTGAAAATACAGTAACTAATAGAAACATAATGCAAAGTGTATTTATATCATTGTACTTTATTTACAACATAAATCGCTTAAATAATAATATAACTTTGCCTTAAATAAAACTTAGTGGCCAAGAGCCTTGTCGCGCACCCTCAACTGGCTGGTCGGCCATTGTGGTAGATTGCAGCATTTGAGGAGAAATTGAATCAATTGTTGATATTTCATGTGGCCATTCAGTTGAACAACAAGTATATTTAACAAGTATTTTTACATTGAGGTAAATAAATTAGAAAGGTATAAGAACTGGACTGAATAACACATTGCGATATTTAAGTTATATAATTTTTGCTAATTTATTAAGAGTACCGGTTCATCAGGTCAGTTAAAACAAAGTTTGCTGACTTGTCAGTACTTAGAAAATTTGACAACTATGATATTAAGAATCATCTACAATTGCTGTACTAACCTTCTAGGGTCCAGGTTGCCGAGTTTGAACACTTGCTTATAGTTGCAAAAGGTCATTGGTAAAGGAAAAATGCCATGAGTCGAGGTTTATTAGATAATGATGCAAAGCTAGCCATATTTGTGGTAGGGAGAATACAGCATATGTTCTAATTGATTAACTGGGATGATTGCAAAAACTTGTTGAGAGAGAGAATATGTTTATCGCTTATGTTTTTTGATGCTGTGCATCACTTTGGATATTTTGTTACCTTCTGAACTGTTATTTGACGATGGTTAAAGTAGCTACAATAGGATGTTTTATATATAGTGTATATTACGTTATGCGGATGTAATCTGTATGTAAAGAAACTCTCTGGAGATTGAGGTGTTACCATATACTGCTAATCTCTATCGATGACTTGAGCATTATTTCTAGTCATGTATGTGCATAATGGGTTTTTAACAACTTTTAATCTGAATTATTCCTTTTATTCTCCCTTTCTGTAGCCAATGATAATGTCAAGATGGTTAGCTGTGGTGCTGATAAAAGTATCTATTTCCGTACAGCACAGAAGGTAAAAGTCTCACTTTGGCCCCAGCATTTATTTTGTGATGCTTCACTTAAACTTCCTATCTATTTGCTTTTACGTTTGTACGGCAACTTGCATCCCCATTAAGGGTTTCCCAAAACATCTTTTACATCCAGTGTAGTGACTTCATTACTGAATTAATTTAGCTGTTTGAAATTCCACAAATTGTTACTATGTGGTTTTATCATGAGTAATGTACATTTGGTTGATTTTTATCTTGCTTTGTTGACTTATTCAGAATCTGGCCGAGTTGGGAAATTCATTGTGTTAAGTGTTACTGGGGAAAGTCTGTATTGATAAATACGTTGCTTAACCCAGTAGGTTTTTATCTTTTTGTTTTCAACCTTTTCTCTTCTCCTAACCTTCGTTTCCTATACAAATGAACTTTTCTAGTTCTCTGCCAAAGCAGCTCTGAAATTATAGAATGGTTGCAGCACAAAAGAAAAACATTTGGCTTATTTCCTTGCTGCCTCTCTCCAAGACCAACTTATTTGGTCCCATTTCTGTCTTTTCCACATAGCCCTGCAAATTTATTCTCTTTGTATAGTTATCCAATTCACTTTGAAAGGCTGTGTTTGAATCTGCCTTCATCTTACATATGACCAGTGTTCTGAAAATAATATTCCTCATCATGGTTTCTCCTTTTTTCTGCAAAGTCAATAAGAGCCGGAGAATACCACACACATGCTCTGAAACTACACCACCGCTGGTCAATCTTGATCTGGTCTTTGCCTCATCTCCAATTTCCTGGCTGATCCTCAAAATCTAGTTAAATCAAAGCAAAATACTTGGATGCTGAAAATCTGAAATAACAGGAACTACTGGAGAGACTCAGGCCTGGCAGCACCTGTGAAGAGAGAAACAGAATTAATGTTTCAAGTCCAGTTTAATTGTTCTTTGGAGCTGAAATGGCCTAGAAAATGGTTCTTCTGCTGTTGACTGAAGTGGAGAAGCAAGATTGAGGGTACCAAGAGCAAAGACAAAGTTAGTATTAATAGTGGTAAAGCAGAGATTGATATGTGAAATAAGTGTAAATGTTAGGTGTGAAAACAAAGCCAATGAGACAAGGCAAGGAAGGATGAGGAATGTAACAAAAATTAAGGGCAGATGTTGTACAACTCTGAAGTTTTAGAACTCTATAATGATTCCTGGAGGCTGTAATGTGCCTAAGTAGAAGATGAAGTGTTGCTTGCCCCACTTGCATTGAGCTTCATTGGAGTATTGCAGCAGAACAAGGACAGAAATGATAGCATGAGAGCAAGGTGGTTTATTTAAATACAGAATACAAGAAAGAGTGTGTTTGGTGGTGTGGTTTAAAGGTAACAATCTCTCCCTTAATGTCTGCAAAATGAAAGAGCTGGTCATTGACTTCAGTAAGCAAGGTGGAGAGCACGCTCCTATCAACGTCAGTAGAGCTGAGGTGGGGATGGGTGAGTGTGTCAAGTTCCTAGGAGTGCTGATGACCAATAATCTGTCCTGGTCCATCCACGTTGATGTGACGGTCAAGAAAGCACAACAGCACTTCTACTTTCTCAAGAGGCTAAGGAAATTCGGCATGTCCATAAGACCCTTACCGACTTTTATAGATACACCATAGAAAACATTCCAGCTGGATGCATCACAGCTTGGAACGGCAGCTGCTCTGATCAGGACTGCAAGAAACTACAGAGTTGTGAACACGACCCAGTCCATCACACAAGACAACCTTCCATTCATTGACTCCATCTGCACTTCTTGCTGCCTTGTAAAAGCAGCCAACATAATCAAAGAAGCCTCCAACCCCAGTTATAATCTCTTCCATCGGGCAGAAGGTACAAAAACTTTAAACACACGGACCAATGGATTCAAGAACAACTTCTTTCCCACTGTTATTAGATTTCTGAATGGACCTCTTAAATTTAAAATTTGAATGTTGACGTTGTTCTTTGTGTGCCTTCTCTGCAGCTTTCCTCGCTCTGTTCTATTACTCTTATGCACTTCATATGGTATGATCTGCCTGTACTGCACGGAAAACAAAACTTTTCACTGTACCTAGGTGCACATGACAATAATAAATCAAATCAAACTGGCAAGTAACTAGGCCCAGCAGCGTCTACGTCTTGAGTCAAAGTTCAAAGATTTCTGACTCTGGAAGAAATTCATCGTCTTTGTCTTATTCTTAAAATGTGCCCTTAAAGATTCCAGAATGAGGGTGACATCCTCATCGTATTTATATTGCCAAGTACCTCTGAATCTTGTTTCAATTAAATCAAGTTTTGTTCCTCAGAAATTAGCCCAAGGTATTGGACCTTTCCTCAGAATCAGTCACGCAGGAAATCAACCTAGTGAACCTAGTTTGGCAAAAAGTCTCTAATGCAAAAAATGTCCCTCCTCAAGGAGACCAAAACTGTAAGCAGTACTACCCTTGGTCTTGCTAAAGGCCACATAAGGTTCTAGGACAGGCCAAACAGAGACAAGCACGGGAATTTCTGGAGGCTTGGTTCTCCACCAAGAAGGCCATCAACAAACAAGTAGAATTACACCCGATATATACACCACTGTGAAGAAAAACTGGAAATGAGGTAACCAGTTCCAACGCACCCCAGAGTTTAAAAACCAGGTGGGAAAGCACAACAATACTTCATCGGAGGCTACACAGATGATGTTACCCAGCAGGGTAATGAAACATCTGTGAACTAACCAATCAGCTTGGTGAGTGAACCAACCACAAAGGCCATGTAGTTGTAACAAAATTTGAAATAAAAGGAGAATACTTGAAATACTTAGCAGGTTTGGTAGTATATGCCCTTGCAAAACTGGAATCAATGGGATTCACAGGGCAAACTGTTTGGTGGTTGGAGTCATACCTGGCACATAGGAAAATGGTGTGGTTGTTGGAAGTCAGTCATTTCAGCCTTGGGACATCTCTGCAGGAGATCATCAGGATAGTGTCCCAGACCCCCAACCATCTTCAGCTTTATTAACGACCTTCCCTCCATTATAGGGTCAGAAGTAGGAATATGTGCTGATGATTGTGCAATGTTCAGCACCATTTATAACTCCTCAGACACTGAAGCATTCAGTGTTCAAGTATAAGAAGATCTGGGCAATATCAAGGCTTGGGCTGACAAATGGCAAGTAATAAAAACCAAAAGAACTGCGGATGCTGTAAATCAGGAACAAAAACAAAGTTGCTGGAAAAACTCAGCAGGTCTGGCCGCATCTGTGAAGGAGAAAACAGTTAATGTTTTGGGTCCGGTGACCCTTCCTCAGAATGGCAAATAATGTTCATGCCACTCAAATGCTGGGCAATCAACAGCTCCAATAAGAGGCAATCTAACCACTGCCCCTTTGACATTCAGCAGTGTTACCATCATTAAATCCCCTCCTGTCAATATCCTCGGATTACCATTAACTAGACGCTCAGCTGAACTTGTCACGTAAAGACAATGGCTACAGAGGCTGGGAATGCTGCAGTGAGCAACTCACTTCCTGACTCCCTATAGCTGTTCTGTCCACCAACTACAAGACACACAAGTCAGGAATGTGATGGAATACTCCCCACTTGCCTGGATGAGTGCAGCTCCAACAATACTGGAGAAGCTTGACACCATTCAGGACAAAGCAGCCCGCTTGCTTGCCACCACCTCCAGAAACACCCACTGTGTCTCCCCCAGTGCTCAGTAGCAGTAGTGTGTGCAATCTACAAAATACACTGCAGAAATTCACTGAAGACTCCAAACCCATGACCACTTCGATCTAGAAGGACAAGGGCAGCAGATACAGGAGAAGACACCATCTTCCCCTCAAATCCACTCACTATTCTGACTTGGAAACGTGTTACTACCTCCTCATTTCACTGGGTCAAAATCCTGGAATTTCCTCCAAAGGACATTGCGTCTACCTGCAGCACATGGATTCTAGTGATTCAAAGTAGCAACTCACTGCCCTCTACACAAGGGCAACTAGGGATGGGTAATAAATTATGGCCAGCCAAGTGAATTTATTTGAAAAATGCTGAGAGAAACTCGAGTCCAGTTTATTCCACCCACATTGCAATAAATGCTAAAATTCTATTTGGCTTAATTACTTCACTTTACCTGAATAGTAACTACTTGTGCTACATGTTTGAAGGCGCTCCGATCCCTCTATATCATAGCATTCTGTAATCTCTCTCCATTTTAAATAACATACTTCAAGTCAAAATTAATACCCCCAACACCACCATGTTCTACCACTCTTTTTAAGATTTCTTTTAAAATTTTGCAACTGATATTTAAAACTCACTCTGTTCTACCAAATATTAATATTATTTCAGAAAATAGTGGGATATTTGGTAGTAAATTTTGAGGACATTTAAGGAAATGGTTCTGCTTTTAGCAAAAACAGATGACTCATTGTTGGATAATAGCTTAATCTCCACATAAAAAATAGATTTCTGGTATTGCTCTTGATGGTTGCTCTGAGCTGTCAGTTTTTTTTTCTAATAAATGAAAACATTCTTGTATCTCATGCTGTCTTGTTCACTTACAGCCTGTTCCTCTGTCCCATAAATTTTTAGCTGGGAGTACCTATTTTTCTTATCTATAGGTAGAAATTACAGTTTTTGTTGGGGGTTGGGGAAATGGTTTGTAGTCCAAATCTTTACACAGCAATGATAGTCTGAGATCCTAGAATTTGAACTTGTCTTTCAGGCAATATAAATTTTCTTTTGGCAGTCTGTTGATGGAATTCAGTTTACACGAACTCACCATGTAGTCGGAAAAACAACATTATATGACATGGATATTGATATCACACGGAAATATGTAGCTATTGGCTGCCAGGACAGAAATATTAGGTATGTTTTCTTCCTTTGATGGGGTAGGGATATGTGGTCTCTCTTTCAAAAATGCATCAAACATTTCTCAAGTCAAGTTGTATGACCTAGAGTAAAATTAATTTGTTACTTTGAGTGCTAATGATTAGGTGAAATATTTCTGGTGACTATAACTTAATGCAAGTGTCAACTTGGTTAACCTACTTGGATAGAGTATCTTGAGAAGTTTTTAAGAAAATGTTTCTGTCCCAACGTGTTGAGCACATTATCTACCTGGTTATCTGTCCTTAGGTTTTACCCTGCCCTGTACCACCTGTAACTAGAAAGGCAGAGTTCAGTTTCCAGCCCCCATTCCCTGACTAACATAAAATTCATGAATTCAGTTAGACTCTCTGCCTTACCCTCAAAATCAGATGTAAAATTATAGCCTACACTTAGCATCTGATCTGTATTGGCATTCACCTGGTTTCTTATCACCCTCTGGCATTGTACAATTCTAGTAGTAAATCCTGAGGTTTAAAACCATGATATTTACAATACCTAACCAATTTCTCAATTAATCCACTCTTCAATTTGATTTCAATTTCGAAGAAACTCCTTTGTATCCAAGTTTGAAAAGTAGTTTGGATTGTAATCACCTTTTAGAGTGAAGTTAATTGAGGAGGAATCTGATCTGGATGAACAACTGCGGTGCATTGTGCTAATATAGAATACAAGTATAACATTAATGAGCCTGTAGTTTATTTCTTGTCCATTTATGGCATTCTGCTATTTTCTTCTGTGCACTGCTTCCCTTATGGCAAACATAAGCAGGTGACCTGCCAAGACTATGGTTGCCAGGATTAGTTTGACATCACTTCTGTCTGTTAGCAAACACTGTTTCCTTCTTTGGTGATTATTCTCTCCCGACATCTTCCCAACCCTGTCATCCCTAACCTCCCATTTGTGGCTGATTTATAAGGATGGAAACTGAAGTATTGCTGTTTCTTCTAATTACTTTTTGTTGGAGTGCAGTATCACTGATTAGTAGCAAACTGTTATTTTTTGCTTCACCCACTACAGAACATGGAGTTGCACAGCATATATTTAGAATAAACAAAGGTCTATTGGTTAAGAGTTTAGGTGTTATTTACTATTGCTGGCCTTTGAACTAGATCTACCTATTTGCATTTGGTTCATAGCTGAACTGTACAGACTAAGAAGATCAAAAGTATGATTCTTCATCTGTGCTGGTCTTGGCTGTGGTTATAGTTGAATTGGATTTTGACTACAAGGCTAGGGAGGGGAAAGATGGAAAAAAAGACAAAACTGTGAATGCTGGAAATCAGAAACAAAATCAGAAATTGCTGGAAAACTCAGCAGGTCTGGCAGTATCTGTGGGGAGAAAACACAGTTAACATTTCAGATCCAGTAACCCTTCAGATCTCAGTTCGGAACACAGGAAAGATGAACCTGGGTTCCTATTCCTGATAGCTATCCTCAGACCCCCTTACTGGAAGCACTGAGGACAGAATTCAATCACGCTTTGAAGTTAGAAATGCAAATAACTGACAAATAACAATAACAATTAACATGTTGTTATTTGAAGCTCTGCCTTGACACTTCTTACATATGGATGGCCATGAAGTTATTCCTAGCAGTCCAAAAGGAAGGAGTGAAGAGGCAAGGAGAGAATCCATTTTATCTGATTCCTTTTAATAAAATTAAACTACCTTTTTATATTGACATTGCAGGGTATTTACCATCGACAGTGGGAAACAAAAGAAATGTTTCAAAGGTTCACAGAGTGAAGATGGAATCCTCCTCAAAGTAAGGAATACAAGTCTCAGCAGCATCTGAAATAGCACTTTTTTAATGCTGACTTTTCACTAATTTTACAGGGGATATAATGCTTTACCAAAATCTATACTACTGCATCCAAAGGTCTTAAAATTAGCTAGAGATGTTGGAAGTGTGGATTGTAATCTTAATGATCAAGAAACTTAAGAATAAGAACTCAAAAAAAAAAAAAGTTTAGGGGGACGTGGGACAAGTCCAGTTTAGGAAACCTGGTTAGCATGGCCGAGTTGAGCTAAAGGACCTGCTTCCGTGCTGTACACCTGTATATCCAAATGAGCATGTTTGAAGTTCAAAAGCTGAATTGCAATGTGATTTGCATCAAAAATTCATGTGCAGACTTGAGTAATGGAGTAACTGTACAAATATGTAATGATCATGTAGGAATAAAACGAATAAATGCAGCACCTGTAGGTTCTAAGCATCACGAGTCAAATCTTCCAAGGAGTGACAATCACAGTTGAATTGCAGTTTCATTCCTTTTAACTTGCCCTCCCCTGGGACCCCCATTTTTCTGGCGTTTAATGTCTGATTTGGATCAGCGCAGGGTCGGTGCTCGAGGTCAAAATATGCTTTTTTTTTTAACAGTGGTAACAAGTATTCCAAGGCTTAAAGATCCAGACCCTCTTACGAGAAAATCTAAATTAGTAAACTAAGGAGGGTGTTGGATGGAAAATGGTAGGGTAATGGCTAGTGAAGTGTTTTTGACTGGATTTAGGAGAAGGGGACCTGGTATTTGGTGAGGTGGTAAGGGGGTGCATAGTTAGTTTTATAGTTAGCCAAAAGTTGGGGTAGGATTTAATCCCTCCAATTTTTCCTGCCTAGCAATAAGGTCACTAAATCAGAATTGTTCTATTCCCCAACTCCAACACGGAATTGGTGATTTTTTTTTTTGCCGGCTTTGAAACACCAGGTGAAAATCAAAGTTTAAATTTCCCGGGTAATTACCACACAGTTGGTCTGTCAGGGCATCCAAGAGGTCCTAATGCTTTTTGAGGAAAGGAAGAGGACTAAAATGTCCTGGATCAGATGAGCAAAAAAAAGAAATTATCCACAAATAATTAATCCACCAATTTCTAATCTGTCTTCTAGAAAGAATGGAGACAGGAAAGTAGGAATTTATAGGTCACCTAACCCAATATATCATTGGGAAATGCTGAAATCCATCATTACACAAGTAGCAAGACATTTTGAAAATCATAGTACAATTGGACAGGATCAACATGATTTTTGTGAAAAGGAAAATGTTTGGCCAAATTTTATTGGGGCTCTTTGAGGATGTAATGAGCAGGATGGATAAAAGGGAACCAACAGGTGTTGTGTGTTTAGTTTTCTGAAAGACACTTGATAAGGGGCCACAAAACCCATGGTAAGATTTCGTGGTGCTAGGTAATATGTTAGCGTAAATAAAGAGATGGGTAGCTCACAGAAGATGGAGCTGGGATTATTTTTAAGTTACCACTGCAACTCATAAGGTGCTAGGGTTATCAGGTGCTTCAACTATTTATAATCAACATTAATTATTTGATGAAGGGACACAGTGTATTGTCACCATATTTGTTGACTGTGGCGTCTGCATTTTTCTCTTGGACTGCCTGGCAGTCACCCAGGCCCTTAAGCTGTGGTATGACTACCCCTCTGAACATGCAGTCTCTGTAACTCTGAGCCTGTTGAGTGTGCTGCAGTGTCTCCTGTTGCATTTGAGTTGTAAATGTGAGGATGAAGTTTCTGTAGCTGGAAGCCTGTGCTTATCTGTGGTCAACTAGGACACTAGTAGAGTCCATGACTTCCCACACATTACAGGTGCCACATTCCACTTGACCAATCTGTGCCTCCATCTCTTTAAATTTAAACTACTTAGTAATTAAGAAAGACTTAAAAAGTTATAAAAGTACTTCCCTTGCGTTATCTTTACGCTCATTCCTTTATCCTACTTTGGCTTACTTTTTTATTATTTTATTTTATTTTATTATTAATTTATTATATTGGCCTGAGCTTCACTTGTTCCTGGTATTTCTCAGTTAATCCCTTCTTTCATAAACCATTAGAAACTTGTCTAATTTTTATTTTTAAATTTATGTACAGTCCCTGAGATTTCCTTGACAGTCAATGATCCAATATCAAGTTCTGTTCACCCACCGCCTCTGTGCTCACTGATTTATGTTGGCTCCTGGATAAGCAGTGCTTTGAATTTTATTTTAAATGTTTATCTTTGTACTTAAGTCCCTCCATGTCTTCCCCCTTTCTATCTTTATTCTCCTCCAACTTTCCTGCTTTCCTATACATTTACACTTATCTAGTTATAATGTAACTGAAAATGAGGTTGTAGACATGCTTGCCAAGCTGGTAGGTTTGGCTGCAAACGTTTTGCCACCGTGATAGGTGACATAGTCAGTGTGCCTCCAGTGAAGCATTCCTTTCAGTTATGTAACTAAAAATGCTGGAAATTCTCAGCAGATGTGGTAGTATCTGTGAAGAAAAAAACAGGTTTCATGTTTCAGGCGTGACACCATGTAATTTCAGCCTTTTGAACATTCCCATTTTAACTGGCAGCCTTCTCTTCAGCTGACAAAACCCTAGGCTATATAGAGGGTCATACAGCATAGAAACAGGTCCATTGATGGTATAGACATGGTGGGTCAAACACCAAACTACAGTTGTTGATTTTGATTAGACTTTATGACCAGGGTGTTCCTGTGAAAATGAAGGAGAAGGATGGCAAGATTTGTGATCATTGGATGACAAATTGAGAGCTGTCTCAAAAAGAAAAAGGAGGCATACAGAAGATTTAAGAAACTGAAGATAGACAGAGCCCTGGAAGAATACAAAGATAGGAAAGAACTGAAACAAGGAGTTAGGAGGGCTGAAAGGGACCATAAAATGTCTTTGGAAATCAAGATTAAGGAAAATCTCAAGGTGTTTTATACATAATGAGTAAGAGGGAGGCTATAAAAAGAGGACGTCCACTCAAGGACAAAGGTAATTGTTGCATGGAGCCAGAGGAAGTGGATACTGTCCTTAATGATACTTTACATTGGTATTCACAAAGGTGGATGGTGAGTTTCAAGAGAGATATGTTGATATTCTAGGACGTGTCTTACCTTGATGCTTTTCAAAACACCCAACGGCACCACCTTTTTCACATTGACAAGTCCCCAGGATCTATCTAGAATGCAGAAGAATGCGGGTGAGAAAATTGCTGGGGCTTTATATGGAGTCACAGGAGAAGTTCTAGAGGACTGCAGAATAGCCAACATTGTTCCTTCTGTTCAAGGAGGGCAACAAGGATTAAACTGGGAAATTACAGGCTGGTGAGCCTTATGTCAGTGGTAGGGAAATTGTGGGAGAAGATTCTTAGAAATGGAATTTACTCACATTTGGAAAATATGGACTTGTTAGTTAGTCAATATAATAATAACTAACTATTCTCCAGGCCTCTGGGACCTCTCCTGTTCATGTTTGAAATAATATGGACTTATTATCGATAATGTGGAGATGCCAGTGTTGGACTGCTACAAAAGCTTGTGATTTTGAATAAACCTGTTAGACTATAACCTGGTGTCATCTGAATTTTGACCTTATTAGTGATAGACAGCATGGCTTTGTGCAGGGAAAGTTGATTCTTCCAAATCTGATTTGTGTTTTTGAGGAAGTGCCAAAGATGATCGAGGGCAGAGTAGCAGGTGTTGTCTAGCAAGTCATTTGACAAGGTACATCGTGGCATGCTGATGCAAAAGGTGATGTCACATGGGATCCACGGTGAGCTGATAAGATGGATAAAAAAAGACTGGCTTAGTCACAGACAGAGTAGTGGTAAAAGGGTGATTTCTGACTGGAGATATGTGATCAGTGATGGGATCCGTTTTGTTTGTAATTTAAAAAAAATATTTGGAGGAGAATGGAGGTGGCTTGACTAGTAAGTCTGGGGACAACACAAAGATTGGGGAGCTGCAAATAGGAGGATTGCCAGAGGACACAGCAGGATATAGATAGGCTGGAGCTTTAGGCGAGAAATGGCAGATGGAGTTTAATCTGGACAAATGCAAGGTCTCACATTTTGGAAGGTCTCGTGCAGGATGGAAGTATACAGTAGATGGCAGAACCCTTAGTAGCATCAACATCTAGATCTAGCTATACAGGTCCACAGTTCCCTAAAAGCGGTAACACAAGTGGATAAGGTAGCCAAAAAGACATATGGCGCACTTGCCTTCATAGGTCATGGCATAAATTATAAACATTGCCAAGTAATGTTGCAACTGTATACAACTTTAGTTAGGCCATATTTGAAATACTTTATACAGTTATGGTTGCCTCACAACCAGCTGGATGTGGAGGCTTTGGAGAGGGTACAGAAAAGGTTTACCAGGTTATGTCGCCTGATTTTGGAGGCTATTAGTCACAAGGAGAGATTAGACAAGCTTGATTTGATTTCACTTGAACATCAGAGGCTGAAGGATGACCTGATAGAAGTTTACAAAATTGAGATACGTTGATAGTCAAAGTCTTTTTCCCAGGGTAGAAATGTCAATTAGGAAGGGATATAGGTTTAAGGTAAAAGAGACAAAGTTAAAAGGAGATGAGAAGCAAGTTTTTGACAGACGGTAGTAATTGCCTGGAACGCACTGCTGGAGGAGATGATGGAGATGAATATAATAGCAACGTTTAAGAGGCATCTTGTCAGATATATCAATTGGGTGGGAGTAGAGGAAATGGACCATGTAGCGGTAGAAGGTTTTTAAGTTAGAAAGGCATTGTGTAGGCACAGTCTTGGTGGGCCAAAGGCCTGTTCCTGGGCTGAACTGTTCTTTGTTCTACACTAATCCTGTTTAACTGCACCTATCCATAGCCCAATCTTTGTGTTGTCCCCAGACATACTAATCAAGCCACCTACATTCTCCTCCAAATATTTTTTATAAATTACAGACAAAAGGTCCCATCACTGATCACATATCTCCAGTCAGAAATCACCCTTCCACCACTACTCTGTCTATGACTAAGCCAGTTTTTTTTTATCCATCTTATCAGCTCACTGTGGATCCCGTGTGACGTCACCCTTTGCATCAGCATGCCATGATGTTCCTTGTCAAATGACTTGCTGGACAACACCTTGCTACTCAATTACCCTGGCATTTAATGTGGTTGTTCAGATGCTTCTAGAGTAACACAGCATGTAATGGGCTCTTTGGTCCAACCAATATATGCCAACCATAATCCCAAATTAAACTAGTCCCACGTGCCTGCGCTTGGTCCATATCCCTCCAAACATTTCTTGATTGATTTTGTTGTCACGTGTACTGAAGTACAGTGAAAAGCTTTGTTTACAAGCAGTTCAGGCAGATCAAAGTAAGCAAAAATGTACAGATCAAAAAGACTAAACAGGGGCGTACAGGTTACATTGCACAGGGCATACGCCAGGCAAGATCAACATTAGCAAGATCAGCATTGTTTGAGGCTAGAGAGTCCATTCATCAGTCTGATAATGGCCAGGATGAGGCTGTTCAGGCTTCTGTATCTTCTGCCTAACAGAAGAGGTTGGAGGAGATCATTATCAGGGTGCCATGGGTCTTTAATGGTGGCTTTTCTGCGACAGTGAGCCATGTAAATGGAGTCCATGGATGGAAGGTTGGTCTCTGTGATGGCCTGGGCTGTGCACACCACTCTCTGTAGTTTCTTAGGGTCCTGGACAGAGTAGTTGCCATATCAGACTGTTATGCACCTGGACAGTATACCTTCAGTGATGCATCTGTCGAAGTTGGTGAGGGACCTTTACGGACATGTCAAATTTACTGAGCCACCTGAGGAAGAAGAGACGTTGTGCCTCCTTAACTGTCGCGTCTATATGGGAAATCCAAGGCAGGTCAGTTATCGTCACTCTGAGGAGCTTGATGCTCTCCACCCTCTCAATCTCCGTTCCATTGATGTAGATGGGGGTGTGTTCTCCTTTCTTTCTGAAGTCAATGATCAGTTCTTTAGTTTTGCCAAGAGAAAGGTTTTTTTCATTGCATCACGTCACCAAGCCCCCTCTCCCTTCTGTATTTTGACTTGTCGTTGTTAGGTATCTGTTCCACTACTGTGGTGTCATCAGCAACCTTGTAGTTGGTGTTCTTTTGGAATTTGGCAACACAGTCGTGGGTGTACAGGGAGTATAACTGGGGGCTGAGAACGCGTCCTTGGGGGGCTCCAGTATTGAGTGTTACTGTGAAGGAGGTGCAATTACCCATCTTCACTGATTGTAGTCTATGGGTCAGAAAGCTGAGGATCCAGTTGCAGAGGGCAGAACCGAGACCAAGGTCATGGCGTTTTGAGATCAGTCTGGAGGTAAAAGTGTTGATTACAGCTTTGCCTTCAATGACCACGAGTCTGACAATAGGTGTTTTTGTTGTCCAGATGTTCCAGGGATGAGGGTAGGGCTAGGGATATATGGGATATACTGTGGATCTGTTATGTCGGCAGACAGATTATAGGGGATTGAGGCGGGCGGAGAGACTGGAATTGATGTAGGCCATGACCAGCCTGTCAAAGCACTTCATGATTATTAAGGTCAGAGCCACTGGGCGGCAGTCATTAAGGCACATTGCATGTGCTTTCTTAGGTACGGGGCTGATGGCGGTTTTCTTTAACAGATGGGGACGACTTCTTGTAAGACGGAGAGGTTGAAGATGTTGGTGAATACCTCATTGGTTGGTCCGCACAGGATCTGAGTGCTCAGCCTTATTCATGTACTCATTGAAATGTCTTTTAAACATTGTAACTGTATCTGCATCCCCCATTTCCTCAGGAAGTTCATTCCACACATGAGCCATTCAGTTTATAAGAAAAATTGTCTTCCTCTTCTCTCCTTAAAAACATGCTCCCTAGTCTTGAAATCCCCCACCCTATGGAAAACACACCTGCCATTCACTTTATCTATATGCTTCATTATTTTATCAACCTCTGTAAGGTCATCTCTCAACCTATGCTCCAGGGGAAAAATATTCCAAGCCTATCCAGCCTCTACATATTATTCAAACTCTCCATTCCCAGCAACATTCTGGCAAATCTCTTCTGAACCCACTCCAGCTTAATAATATCCTTCCTATAACAGGGAGACCAGAAGTAAACTCAGTACTCTAGAAGAAATCTCACCAGTGTCCTTTAAATGTCACGAGTATCTGCCTCTACCATCCCCTCGGACAGCATGTTCCATATTTCCACCACCGTCTGGGTTATAAAATGTTCTTTGGATCTCCTCTAACTCTAACCTTAAACCAATTCCCTCTAGTCTTAGACATGTCTGATACGGGGAAAAGATTCTCATGATCTACCTTGTGTATGCCTCTTAAAATTTTGTATGCCTCAATCAGATCCCCTCCACCATCCCCAACTTCAGCCTCCTCTGCTCAAAGGAAAACAAACCTAGCCTATTCAGTCTGTCCTCATAACTGGACTTTTCACCCCAGGCAACATCCTGGTGAATCTCCTCTGCACGATATAATCCCATCCTTCTGATAATGTGGCAAATAGAACTGAACACAGAATTCCATCTGTGACCAATGTTTTAGAAAATTGCAGCAAGACATCCCTGCTCCTATATTCCAACCCCTGGCTAATGAAAGCAAGCATCCCATATGCTGCCCTCACCAACCCTATCTATCAATGCTGACATCTCCAGTGATCTACGGACTTGTACAGCAAGATCTCTCTTTCTCAGTACTCCCCAGGGGCATACCATTTATTGTGTATATCTTTTCCTTATTAGACCTCCCAAAATGCATCACCTCATGCTTATCAGAATTAAATTCCATCTGCCATTGTTCTGACCAATTTTCCAGCTGACCAATATCAGACAACAGTCTGAGGTCATCCTGCTCACTATCAACAACAAGGGAGGGAAATCCTTCCCTAAACTTTTCCACCACTATCTCCAACTTTCAGCTGCTTCTTGAAACCTAGCTCTTTGGTCAAACTTTTGGTCACCTCTTTTATGCAGTTCAGTGTCAACTTTTAATAACAGTTTTATGAAGCACCTTGGGACATTTTTATTACATTAAAGATACTATCTAAATGCAAATTATTATTTTACATTTTATCTTTTAAAAATTAGGATGGGATTCCATAGGAGTATGGGAATATTTGCAGCATTGAGCAGCCCCAAAAAAGAGTTTGAAAACAGCACCAGTGGCATATTTCAAAAGCCATTAAGGTTATTCAGATTCAGTTTGCAGTCTTGATGTGTTATTTTCATGTTATTCTTTCCATCTGTTGAAATCCGCTCATCAGACTGGGTTGTTCAGCCTTTTCGATCTACGACCTAATTTGTACTGTTCGTTTTCCTGAAACATCTGACAGCTCCCACCCCATCCCACTCCAAGTTGACATTAATAATTGTTAGAGACCTTTGCCTTTACAAAATGGAGGTTGAGCTGGGGCATCTTTACTTAATGTTGACCCTCAAAATAACTACATTTTTTTGGTCTTCAATTGATAGAGTTTTAACAATTGTCTGCATTCCTTTACATTAGTGGCCTTTGTTAATTTGGCAACACAGTTTTTGTAAACATGGTGGATTTTTCTTTTGAGTGTATCAACCTTTAGTTGAGATACCCAACCCTCTGTTGCCTGTTTGGTTTCTAGGTTCAGATGGATCCCTCTGGAACGTTCGTAGCCACTAGTTGTTCTGACAAAAATATTTCCATCTTTGACTTCTACACTGGAGAATGTGTAGCCAGCATGTTTGGGCATTCAGGTACCCATTACATTAATCTACAATTCAGCATTATTTAACTTTTCTGTTTTGTATTTTCAAAGACCGGATGTTGTTTTTTTTAAAATTCATAGACCTAGCCCCTCTTCCTTGGTGAAAATCCAGTACCATGTGGAGGAAATGTATGATTTTTGCAACAGGGATGTTTTTCAGTGGTGAAACCCACTGTCCGCTAATTGCTACAGCCATGAGTGGAATGCAAAAGAATGCAAGAAGCCCTGTAGAAATTACCAAGGCTTCTTAAACAATACCTGACAAACATACAACCACTATAATCTAGAAGGACAAGGGCAGCAGATATGAGAACACAGCTACCTGCAAATTTTCCTTCAAACCATTCCATTCCTTCATTGACACTGGTTTTAAAATCCTGGAACACTCTCTCTAATAGCACTGTGGGTGAAACTACAGCAATTCAACAAGGCACTCATTTTCTCCTTGGCAGCTAGTGTCAGATTGTAGACGTTTGTGGTCACAATTACCTAATAGGCAGTTGATCATTTGTAAGCTATTTCAGATAGTTCGAGTTTAAGTAGCAGCAGTTTAGATGTAATACTTTGTTTAATTGGACAAATAAATTATGTAACTGTGAAAATTGCAGAAGGTTCACTGATACTAGAAGACAAATAGGCTCTTGGCACAGAATGTGCTGGCTGACTTGTGAAGGCAGCATCTGGCTTTCTAGCCGAGGCGTTGGGGAACTCTTCCCTGAGTCTTCCTCTGTTACCCGAGATTGCTGTGTGAAGCAAGGGAGGAAATTACAGGGGCTCTGCCCCAAATTTTCAGTACCTCTCTGGCTACCGTGGAGGTTCCAAAGGACTGGAGGGCAGCTGATGTGGTTCCACTTTTTTCAAGAAGGGTGCTAGGGATAAGCCAGAGAACTACAGAGAAGCGAGTCTCACATTAGTGGTATGGAAACTATTCAAGAAAATCCTGAAGAAAAGAATTAATCTCCAGTTGGCAAGGTTTGATCAAGGACAGTCAAGCATGGCTTTGTCACAGGAGGTCATGCCTAACAAATTTTTGAATTTGTCAAAGAGGCACTCGGGTGTTTAGATGAAGGTAGTGCAGTTCACGATTTATATAGATTTCAGCAAAACCTCTGACAAAGATCCACATGGGAAACTGATGAAGATGATAAAACTATGTAGGATCCAGGGTAATTTGGCAAAATGGGTCCAAATTGGCTTAGTGGTAGGAGATGGACAATGGTGGTTGAAGTTTTTGTGTGAAAGCCTGGTGTGCAGTGGCATGTAACAGGCATCCGTGCTGGATCCGTTATTGTTCGTGATTTATATACACGATATAGACTAGAATGTGGGGAGGATCGTAAGTTTGCAGATCGCACCAAGGTTGCCAAGGCCAGATGATTACAGTGAGGAATAAGGTCTTGGATTACAGGAAAACGTGACTGGGTTGGTCAGATTAGTGACAAATGAAATTTAACTCTGATCATGTGAAGTGATGCAGTTTGGACGAAATAGCAAGACATGGGAGTACTCAATGAATAGCAGGACACAAGGAAGGAACAGAAGAATCGTTGAGTGCTTATCCACAAGCCCCTGAAGGTGGCAAGTTAATACATAATTAAGCAGGTATATTAGGCACTTGCCTTTATCAGTTGTCACCGATTAGAAGATCAAGGAGGTTATGTTGTAGCTGCACAAATCTTTGGTTAGACCACAGCCGGAGTACTGTGTGTAGGAAGATGTGTTTGCTGCAGAGATGATTCACCAGGATGTTCTTTGAATTGGATCATTTTAGCTAGAAAAGATGCTGTTTAGTTTTGGGTTATTTTCATTTTAGAGCAAAGAAGGCTGGGAGGGAACCTGATCGACGTGTGCAAGATTATGAAGGTCATAGACAGGATGGATAGGAAGCAGCTATTTTGCTTTGTTGAAGGGTCAGTACCAAGGGGGCATAATTTTAAGCTGAAGGGCAGGAGGTCCAGAGGGAATTTGAGCCATTACTTTTTTACCTAGGGTTAGTGGGAGTCTGGAATGCCCTACCTGAGAAGGCAGTTGACGCAGAAAACTTCAACTTTGAAATGCCATAAATTCAAGGATCTGAGCCAAGGTCTGGAAAGTAGGATTAGTGTAGATAGGTTGATGCAGATTTGATGTACTGAAGGGCCTCTTCTCTATGATTGACTCCTCTTTTTGGTTTAATTTCCATCTGGAGATGACAGCTCCTGACTAGAACTGCTACCTATGAAGATTGCCTGTTGAGGAATGGTCCCTGATCCTAATCACTTGTTAATATACCCTATTTCTAGGTAGCTTGCACGGTGTCAATGAATTGTTTAAATGTTTTTAACCAATGACTGTGGGCAGTTACTCTCAATGTCAGAATGTCTGTTGTCCCTTTACCCACCTCTATTTAAGATCATAAGATGTAGGAGCAGAAGCAGGTCATTCAGCCCATCACGTCTGCTCAGCCTTTCAATGTGATCATGACTGATCTAATAATCCACCACTCCACTTTCATGACTCGTTCCCGTGATCCTTGATTCCCTTACAAATTAAATATGTGTCTCAGCCTTGAAAATATTAATGACCCAGTCTGTACACCCCTATGTAGTAAAGAAATACACTATTTCATTATCCTCTGAGAAGAAATTCCTCCTCAGGTGTGTTTTATGTGGTGACCCCTTACTGAGGGATTATGCCTTCTGGTCCCCCAAGGGGAAACAACTGTTCCACATTTTACCCTGTCAAACTCCAAGAATCTTGTATGTTTCAGTAAAGCTTCCTCTCATTCTTCTTGCTTCTCACGTGTTCAAACTCTCCTCATCAGAAGTCCCTGTAGACCCTGAATCAGCCGAATGAACCTTCCATGAATTGCCTCCAATGCCTGTATAACTTTGAGTAGATAAGGCGATCAAAATTTTATGGAGTATTCAGTTAGTGCCTTATCTGGATTTAGCAAGACCTCCCTATTTTAAGGTTTCATTCCCTTTAAAATGAATGCCATCATTCCATTTGCCTTCCCTATTACCTGCTGAACTTGTATGTTAACATTTTGTGATTGTATGAGGACTCCCAAATCCCTCTAAGCTGTAGGGTTCTGCAGTCTTTTTCCATCCCCAACTGCCCATAGGACAGTTGAGAGTCAGCTACTTCGCTGTCGATCTGGAGTCACATGTAGGCCAGACCTGGTAAGGATGGCAGTTTCTCTCCCTAAACTATATTACTGACTTTTCCCAACAATTAACAATGGATTTATTAGCCTCTTTATTCCAGATTTTTACTGAACTGAAATTCCACCATCTTCCATGGTGGCATTTGAAGATGGGTCTCCAGAACATTACCAGGGTCCAGCGATAATACCACTAGGCCATCACCTCTCGGTTATGGTACATTCACTTTCCTCATCCAAATCATTAACATATTTTGTAAATAACTCTGGGCACCACATTGGTCCCTGTGGCATTCTACTAATTGCCTGAAAAAGCTCCCCTTATTCCAACTCTGGCTTCTATTAGTTAGCCAATCCTCTATCCATGATAGTGTTACTTGTAATGCCATTGGCTGTTACCTTTTATTAAGTAGCTTAATGTGTGGTATGTTATGGTATGCCTTCTGGAAATCCAAATATATTGCATCCACTGATTTACTCTCTATTGATCTTGATAACTCCAGAAAGAACTCTAATAAATTTGTCAGACATGATATCCCTTTCATGAAGCAGTGCTGACACTGCTTGAACAGATTATGTATTCCTAATTTTTGACTGTTATATCTTTTATAATACATACTAACATTTCCCCAATGACCAGAGTTAAACTAACTGCTTTATGGCTGTTTCAGAGATAGTTCTGAAGAACTCGGGTCTAGGCCCGAAATGTCAGCCTTCCTGCTCCTCTGATGCTGCTTGGCCTGCTGTGTTCATCCAGCTCTACACCTTGTTATCTCTGCTTTATGGCTGGATGTTTTTGTCATCTTCCCTTTTTGTAAAAAGTTGTTACATTGGTAGTTCTCCAGTCATTTTTGGACTTTTCCAGAAACTAAGGATTCTTGAGAGATTGCCCTCATTATATCCATGATTTCTGGAGCTGCTAATTTTAATATCCTAGTAGCATCTCATCAGGTCCAGGGGACCTACCATCCTTTAGCTCCACTAGTTTCCCGTGTACATTTTCTCTACTGACAGTTAGTTATTGCATTTATTACCTTTCCATCTTTGCCACTTGATTTATTTAGTATTTTAGAAATACTGTTAGTGTCTTCTGCCGTGAAGACTGCTGCAAAATATTTATTCAACTCCTCTACCATTTTCCCATTATTATTTCCCCAGCCTTTGTATAAGGGGCCTATGTTCACTTTGTGTCTTTCTCCCTTTTTATATATTCAACAAAGCTCTTGCTATCTGTCCTGGTATTAGTTGCATGTTTACCCTCAAAGTTTGTCTTCTGTCTTTTTTTCGTGATTATCTTTCATTTTTAAAAATTTCCTAATCCTCTGGGTTTCCAGAATCTTTGCCATATTGTATGTCTTTTTCAGTTTGAAAGCTATCCTTCACTTCCATAGTTAACCATGGCTGGCTAATCCCCCTTCCTAGAATCCCTCTTTCTTACAGGGTATATTTTTAGAGTCATACAGCATAGAAACGGGTACTTGAGCCCACTATGTCTATGCCAACCAACAAACATCAAACTAGACTAATTCCATTTACCTGCTGTTGGACCATAGCCTATCATGTCCTGGTATTTTAAGTGCTTATCCAGATGCTGCTAAAGTGTTGCCTCCACCAGTTTGTCAGGCAGCGCTTTCCATATTTCTATCACCATCTGGTGAAAAATCTTTTCCTCTGATTCCCTTTGAACCACTTATCTTTTAAACTTATGACCCCGGCCTTAGACACATCTATCTTGGGGAAAAGGTTCTCACAATCTACCTTGTCTATGCCTCTTGTAATTTCGTATACCTGAATCAGACTGCCTCCTCTGCTAAAGAGAATACAAACCCAGCCTATCCAATGTCTCCTCATAACTGAGGCTTTCCATCCCATATAACATCCTGGTGAATTTCCTTTGCATCCTGTCCAGTGCAATCACGTCTTGGTGTGGTGACAAGAACTGTACGTAGTATTCCATTTGTGGCCTAACAAATGTTTTATAAAGTTGTATCAGGACGTCCCTGCTCCTCCGTTCTACACCCCAGCTAATGAAGGCAAGCATCCTGTATGCTGCTTTCACAACCCTGTCTACCTGTACTGACACTTTCAGGGATCTATGGACTTGTACACAAAGGTCCCTTTGTTCCTTAGAACTCCTTAGGGAACTACCATTCATTGTGTATATCCTTCCCTTATTAAACCTCCCAAAACGCATCAGCTCACACATATCAGGATTAAATTTCATCTGTCATGGCTGTGCCCAATTTACCAGCTGATCAATATCACACTATGTAGCTTGAGACCATCCGCCTCACAATCAATAGTTCCACCAATTTTTGTCATCTGCGAACTTATTCATTATACCTTCTACATTTGCATCCAAGTCCTTCATGTACATAACAAACAGCAAAGATCCCAGCGTCAATCCCTATGGTACACCACTGGTCATAGACTTCCAATTACAAAAACAACCTTCCACCCTTTACGTCTTTTTACAAGCTTATTTTGGATCAAATCGGTCAACTTGCCTTGGATCTCATGGGCTCTTACTTTTTGGACCAGCCTTGCATGTGGGACCTTGTCAAAGACCTAACTGAAGTCCATGTAAACTACATCAACTGCACTACCCTCATCAATATAGTCAATTTTTCAAAAAGCTCAATGAAATTAGTCAGACAGTATCTCCCTGAAATAAATCTGTGCTAACTGTCCCTGATCAATCCTTGCCTTTCCAAGTGTTGATTGATCCTGTCCCTCAGTATTTACAAATAATTTCTCTACCACTGATGTCAGGCTATCTGGAGTCTGTAGTTACCTGGCCTTGCCCCTGCTGCCCATCTTAAAGGAATTGCATTAGATATCCTTCAGTCATCTGATACTTCATCTATGGCCAGCAAAATAACAAATATCTCTGCCAGGGCCCCTGCAATCTCCTCCCTTGCCTTGTGTAGCAGCCTGGGATGGTTCTCCTCATGCCCTAGGGATTTATGTACATTCATGCCTACTAAAACATCTAAAAGCTCCTCCTTATTAATCTTAAAATGCTTTAGAGCCTCCCCATACCAACTGAAATCTCCAGCTGCAACATCTTTCTCCTTTGTGAATGCAGATGAGAAATATACATTTAAGACCTCACCCATGTTCTCTGATTCCACACACAGATTGCCCCTTTAGTCTTGAATAGGCCCTGCTCTTTCTCTGGTAATCTTCTTGCTCTTAATATACTTGTAAAATGCCTTGGGGTTTTCCTTTATTCCTATCTGCCAAAAGATATTTCATGGCCTCTCTTTGGCCTCCTCATTTCTTTTTTAAGCACCCCGCTACATGCACTATAATTCTGAAGGGCCTCCCTGTTTTTCGCACTCTGTACCTAACATATACTTCGTCCATTTTCTTCAAACTCTTGATATCCTTGACATCCAGGGTTCACTGGACTTGCTGCTCTTGCCCTTCACTCTTAGAGGAGCATGCTGGCCCTGAACACTCAGTACACTACTTTTAAAAGACTCCCACTTTCCAAATGTAGACTTACCAGTCTGTCAGTCGTTTGCTGGATCCTGTCTAATAATATTAAAATTGACCTTCCTCTAATTTTGGCACTTGACTTTCGCACTACCTTCATCCCTTTCCATAATCACTTTGAAGCTAGAGTCATGGTCTCTGTACTCAAAACTGCTTCGCCGCTGACAATTCAACTACTTGACTGGCTTCATTCCTTAGGATTAGGTCTAGCATTGCTGAATCTCAAGCAGGACTATCTACATCCTGTCATAAAAAACTGTCCTGTATGTACTTTAAAAATTTCACCCCTTCTAATCCTTTCATGCAAAGGCAATACCAGTTAATATTAGTAATGCTGAAATCCCCTACTGCCATGAACCTATTCCTCTCGCACCTCTCTGTGACTTGCCTACATATCTACTCCTGTGTCTCCCGTTGACTTTAGGGAGGCCAATAGTATGGTCCCAGTAAAGTTATCACCCTTTTTTAATTTCTAGGCTGTACCCAGATGGCCTTAGCAATGGTGTCCTTTATGAATAATGTAATGCCTACGCTGCTCCCCACCCCCTTCTCCAACCCCACAACCCCTACCGTATCATGCCTGAAAGTTCTATAGCCTGGAATATTGAGCCGCCCGTCCTGCCTTTCCTTCAACTATGTCTCAGTGATGCAACATTGGTCAGCACAATGGAATATGACAATACTCTTAAGTTCGTCCACTTTGCCCATCAGGCTGCTTGCATTAAAATAAATATAATTTAACTTTCCGGTTTTCCCATGTAACTCCTCATGTCCATGTCTTCTCTGCCTGCTGGACTGTCTTAGTATTCCTTCAATATCTGACTAATCCTTGCTCCCGACCTTGCATCTACTTTGTGCCCCATCCTCCTGCCAAATTAGTTTAAAACCTCCCCAACAGCATGAGTAAATCTCCCAGGAAAGATATTTGACCCATTCCAGTTGAGTTGCAAACTGTCCAGCTTGTACAGGTCTCACCTACCAAGAACCTGTCCTAAATATCCAAAAATCTAAAACCTTACACCCAATACTGTCACTTTTTAGCTATGCAGTCATCTGACCTATCTTTTATTCCTATACTGAGTAGCGCATGGCACTGGAAGTAATCCAACAATTACAACGTTAGTGGTCCTTCTCTTTAATATACCACCTATCTCTGTCAATTCCTGTTGAAGGATCTCATTTGTTTTTTTACTCAAGTCATTGGTACCAACATGTATCATGACTGCTTACTCTTCACCCTCGTCCTTCAGAATGCTCTGTAGCAGCTCTGAGACATTCCTGACTCTGGCACAGGAGGCAGCGTACCATTCAAAAGTCTCTATTGCAGCCACGCAACTGTCTGTCAATTCCCCTTGCAGTCGAGTCCCTCTTCACGTGTGCTATGCGTTCCTCTTGCATGCTGTACCTTACTCCCTTGCTTGCACAGTGCCTTGCTTGCTCTGTTGCGCATGCGTGCTGTGGCTCACTGGCTGCTGGCTGTGCGTGATTTGCTCCCTGGCTACGAAATCATTCCCATTAAGCTGTATTTGGTCAGTCAATTCTTTAATTTTTATTCTGACTACTATGTGCATTAAAGAGATATTAATTTTGCCTTCTTACAACTTTTTCCCCTTTTGACCCTATTTACTACTTAGTTTTAAAAATATTTGGTCACTCTTTTTCTCCCTGTCCCATTTTGGCTATTGTTATCCAAGTAGCTGCCTTGTAATGCCGCCACATCCTTTTGTAAGCCCACATTTCTCTATATCCCAACTACCGGCCCGTCAAAAAAAAATTAGTTTAAAGGTTCTATGACCTTTCCAATGTGTTCACATGCTAGAGATTTATTTTGTATTTGTAAAAAGATAATACTGTAACACAAATAAGATCTCATGCCACACGGAATACTAAACATGGAAAACTAAACTAATTTAATTTTAGAAGAGAAACCAATTTCTTGTACTAGGGATGGGCCCTAAATGCTAGCCCAGTCAGTGCGCCCATATTCTCATGAATGAACAAGCAAACACATTTTCTGATTAAATAGAGGTTGTGCATTATGGTTAAAATTTTCCTGGCCAACTGTTGCCATTCTTGTAAGACCTAGTGAAAGCACAAAAGTGTGCCTTGTATTTTTGTTTCAAATTACAATTTCACATTTAAATCATTCAAATTGTATTGTTTTCACTTTCATCCTACATGCGTCATTGATATTTGTTGAGAGTACAGTACCTTAGAGTTAAATATGCTGGCACATCTCATGATTGGTACACATTGGTTACAGGTAAGTTTGTTATTTCCATAATGAAGAAAATGTTACAATGTGCTCCATACAGAAAGCAATTGCAGTGAATAGGAAGGAATTTCTGAACTGTTCACAATTTAATTGGGTTGTTATGAGTAAATATGAGTATTTGGAACAGTGAGATACTTCACTGGTGTGGAACTGATTCAGAAAGGTTCTGAAGATGTGAATTTTCCTGCCTGCATCTAAACATCTCTTCCGTAAGTATCTACGTGTAGTTAAGTATGTGCTTTGGTATTTAAAAAAAAGAACCAAGTATTATGTTCATAGAAACTTGTTTCTTGAAAGCTTAACATTTGTAACAAGGTCCAAAGAACAGTCTTGTGACCTTAACAGCACAAAATAATCAAATTTTCCCTCTGTAGCCATGTACTTTGAATTGGTTAACGCAAATGCCAATGACAGCAGGAGCGGAAACATGTTTGAACCGCAATGAACTCTGCTGCTATCTTTTTTACAAGCTCAGAATCAGATACTCTTGCATGATTGCATACACCTTGGCTGTAGATCATATTCCTTGGGATAGAGCAAAGGACACATTTGGAAGGTAACCTGCTATCAATTGAGGTTTTGTGTTGGATTTGTTCGCAGGATCAGTTTAGGATATAAAGATTGATTATGAAGTAAAATTACTACCAGCTACATTAGTTGGCAGTTTTCTCGATTTTATTTTACACGCATCAGCATTGCTCAAGTGGTTAAAGTCTGGATCCAGAATTAAGTGACGTCTCCCGGTCAATCTATACTGAAACAAACATGATTTTGGAATTTGGATTAGATTGAAAATGGACAAAATTCAAGGAGTAATTTGTGAATTTCTACAATGTCTCTGGATCTTTTAGGAACAACTGTTGCATGTGGTTTAGAATGATTTTGAATGTAGTAATAATGCAGACAGTGCAAAAGTTGTACAAATAGTTTTCAAAGTTTTTCATTTTCTTTAAATCATAGAAATTGTAACTGGCATGAAATTTAGTTATGATTGCAAGTATCTCATCACAGTCTCTGGAGACAGGTGAGTGCCCCCTATTGGACTATGTGGTATGTACCTGTGGGTGAAAATTTTGAGTGCAGGATATTTTGTTTGTAAATAAATAGCTATTGAAAAGCCCTAGTTTCATAGACCAATGTTCCAAGAGTGCATACCATGTATAATCTCTTTGGCATGACACTCATCAACATGCTGGATGTAGGAGCCCAACATACTATCTTCAGACACGAAAATATTTCCATTCTGATTGAGAAACCACAAACCTTCCTTTTTTTTTTAAACTTTTCTTCTCCACCAAAAATCTCAGTCTGTCATCGTGGTATAATCTTGATCATGTTTTAAGTTGGAAGTGACGCTCTGTCTTTCTATATTTCTTCAATCACTGAATGATTAGTTCAATAGAGATGATTTGTGAAGTGTCATTACCATGTTGGCTTTACTCATTTTTGACAACTGTTACAACAATTCTTCTACTTTCCACACTCATTTCTAACTTTCAGCTGATAAATGTACCCTTTGCTCAGTGTTTATAATAAAATTCAAGTCTTTCATAAAATAACTGTTTTCTGTAAAAATGCAGTGAAGGAAACTAGCTTATTATGTAACTACCTAGCAAGTCACTTCATAGTCCAAGTGCAATGTTAGTTAAATAGCAACAAAAACAGAAATTGCTGGAAAACCTCAGCAGGTCTGGCTGCATCTGTGGAGAGAAAGCAGAGTTAACGTTTCAGGTCCAATGACCCTTCAGAACTTTTTCTGGATTAAATAGTAAATGTGCAACTTACTACTGAATATTCAAGTTTATCCAGTTATATATTTTGTAACCCACAGTTGCATTTTCATATGGCGTTTGGACACTCAGTTGACAAATTGCATGAGACATCGCCTTTCTGAAATCAAACAGATTGCTAAACAGGATAAGATACCACCAACCAAGACATCTGCACCAATCAGGTATGTTAGATGAAACTGCAGTTGACTTGCAAAGATACCTCTGGTACTGAAATTTTGAAAGCAAGGCAGGCTTCCACTCTTTTTACTTGTAATTCCTTATTATTTATAAGGTGTTATCTAAAGATCACAGTTTGGTAATCCAATCCTCACCTGTGTAGACAATGAGTAATACAATACGTTGCCAAGTATCTGTGGATATCATTGTGATCTAACTTTTGAAGAAGCAAGAGACTGGGCCTATATGACTTAATAACTTTTTTGTTTGCTTCTCCTTCTTCTCACCAACTCCAAATAAGCCTTGACGTGCTTCACTCTGATTACTCAGCTGCCTCCTAGACTTGAGGAAATTCTAGTGAGGTCAAGAAACCTAAATGTTCTATTTTGGTTTGCCACAATGCCATTGCTATCTTGCTATCCATTGATTTGTTGTTATACTTGAAATTTTGTTACCCCGATCACTGTAGCAGCTTAAATTGGATGGAAAATGTAAGTTGAGTCCACTTCTAAATTCATTGTATTTATTTCAAGATCTACACAAGTGACTTGGTGCGAGGAGAGCAATTTATGCCCGCAGTATAAGCATCGAATTGAGATTATCCCATCTTTGTACCCGTGTATTCATGAGTGCAAGTCCAAGTACATCTTGTTGATAAAACTAAAAATGCGTCAACTCACAGTGCCTTTCAGTATCTCGGGTGTCCCAAGGTGCTTTACAGACAATTGAATACTTCTAAAGCATAGACATTGAAATGTAGGAGTTCCATGGGAAGAGTCCTAGGTCCAGCCATCTTCAGCTACTTCTTCAATGGCCTTACCTCTAATACAAGATCAGAACTGAGAATGTTCATTGTGCAATCATCAATGTTCAGCACCATTCGCAACCCCTCCTACTGAACATCACATGTTCAGATGCAGCAAGACCTGGACAGTACCCAAGTTTGGGTTGAAAAGTGTCAAGTAACACACATATCAGCAATGATCATCTCCAATAAGAGACCTCTAACCACTGCTCCTTGACTTTCCATGGCATCATACTGTCACCGAAACCCCAGTGTCAATATCCTGGGGGTTACCACTGAGCAGAAACTCAGCTGGACTTGCCATATAAATCCAGTGGCTACAATGGCAGATCAGAGGCTAGGAATAGAACAGTGAGTAGCTCACATCTTGACCTTCCAACATCTATCCACCATCTATAAGGCTCATTTCAGAAGTGTGATGGAACACCATCCACCATCTCTCACCTGGATGAGTGCAGCTCCAACACCACTGAAAAAGCTTAACATGATCCAGAACAAAGCAGCCCTTTGGCACCATAGCCACAACATTCGCTCCCTCCACCATTGATCAATAGCATCAGTGTGCAGCATCCACAGATGCACTGCTGCAATTCACCAAAGATTCTTAGACAGCATCTTGCAAGCCATAACTAGTATCATCTAGAAAGCCAACAGCAACAGATATAACATGGAAACCCTGCCACTTGTGTGTTTCCCTCCAAGCCTGTCATCATCATGAGTTAGGAATATATTGCTGTTCCTTTAGTCTTGATGAGTCAAAATCCTGGAATTTTCTCCCTAATAGCATTGTGGATCTACCTACAGCACATGGACTGCAACGGTTCAAGAAGTTAGCTCACCACCACCTTCTCGAGGGCAACAAGGGATGGACAATAAAAATGTTAGCCCAGTGACACTAATCCCCTGAGTGTGTTTTTAAAAATGTTCAAGCTGCCACAAACAAATGTGATATTTCCTAATTGACCGGTTTGTGATGATTGAGAGATAAACATTGGCAAAACACCGGAGGGAACTCTTCTCCCCTTTGTAATTATACCATGGGATTTCTTGCTTCTATTCAAGAGCACAGAAGATGTCTCTGTTTAACATCTAACTTTAAAGACTTACCTCTACAGAACAAATACTAGAATGACAACCTTGGTTTTATTCTCAGTTCTTTGGAGTGTGCCTTGACTCATAGTGCTAATCTCTGAGTCACACCTGGCCAAATTAGGTCAGACAATGGCTGTACACATAGTACTTTGGTTTTCTCCAAACTATAGTCTGCCACCTACAGCTGTATGCTGGATTAGTATTTTAAGTTTTTTTTTTAATGTAATAACCACAGAGTCAAGGAACAAAAGTAAAGTTGCTGGAAAAGCTCAGCAGGTCTGGCAACATCTGTGAAGGAGAAAACAGTTAACGTTTCGGGTCCGGTGACCCTTCCTCAGAACTGATGGTGGCTGGGAAAACGTCAGTTTATATGCAGAAAATAGGGAGGTGGGTGGGGTAGGGAGTAAACGATAGGATAGAGGCCAAAGAGAGAGAGAGACAGTTGGACAGACAAAGGAGTTGCTAACGATCAGGCTGGGAAGGTGAGTAGTTGTTAATGGGGACTGTTAGTGACTAACAACAGGGGGTGTGTAGTGGCAGGCTATGTGGTAACAGGGCCTGGTGTGTGGGGTGGGAGCTGGGACATGGAAGAGTTTAGGCCCTAAAATTATTGAACTCGATATTGAGTCCGGAGGGCTGTAGGGTTCCCAAGTGGAAAATGAGGTGTTGTTCCTCCAGCTTGCGTTGGGCTTCACTGGAACACTGTAGCAAGCCAGAGACAGAGATGTTGGCCAGGGAGCAAGGCGGTGCGTTGAAGTGGCAGGCAACAGGTAGTTCAGGGTTTATTTTGCGAGCAGAACGTAGATGTTCTGCGAAGCGGTCGCCAAGTCTACGCTTCATTTCCCCAATGTAGAGGAGACCACATTGTGAGCAGCGAATGCAGTAGACTAGATTCTTGGAAGTCCAGGTGAAGTGATCATCAGACACCATTTCCGCCACCTCCAGCAAGATGCCACCACCAGACACACATTCTCCTCCCCTCCCTTGTCCGCCTTCTGCAGGGACTGTTCCCTCTGGGACACCCTGGTCCACACTTCCTTCACCCCCAACACCTCCCCACAGCCCTACGGCACCTTCCCCTGTAACCGGCGAAGGTGCAACACCTGTGCATTTACCTCCTCCCTCCCCAGAATCCAAGGGCCCAAACATACCTTGCAGGTGAACCAACACCACCTGACCAATTTTGACAGGGTAAAGAAGGGTATTCTGTTTCCACTAGTTGGTGTGTCAGTAACTAGGGTCACAACTTCGACTGTCAGCAAGAGAGCTAGGTGTGAGATACGGAAAACTTCTTTACTCAGTTGTTAGAATTTGGAATGCGCTGCCTGGGAGAGTGGTGGAAGCAGATTCTATAGGCTTCAAAAGAGAGCTGGATATATATTTGAAAGTGTAGAAGTTAGAGGGATAGATCTGGAATGCTGTGTAGCCCTTTTGGGATTCGATACAGGCTTGATGGGTTGAATGGCCTCCTTCTTTAGTATAAAATTCGATGATATTGAACTGATAATGAAAAGTTGAATATTTTCAACATGGAATGAAGGGCTTTATTTTTACTTTATAGTAACTGTTCTGCAATGATTTTAGGAGAGAGACCTTTATGGTGCAACAGGTAGCTTCAGAGGATCAGGAAGATGATACAAGTGAGGATGATGTGGAGGATGGTTCATTCCAAACACCTTTGAAGGAGCCCACGGACAGAGGTGGGAGCTGTTTTGTATTACGTGCATCAGACGGATGAGATAGACCTCAAAAATTCAAAACCTCAAAGGTTTCATGGCAATGGCTTTTTAAAGAAAATAAGAGTTTGGCATTTGTATCTCAGCTTTTACGATGAGCAAATGTGGTAAAATGCCAGTTTAGAACTTTTAAAGTGTTGTTATATTGGAAACGCAGTAAGCTTCCAAAAACAGCAATATGATAATGACCAGATGATTATTTGTATGTTGCTGGTTAATGGTTAAATATTAACAATGGCACTGGGAATAACTCCTCTGCTCTTCAAACCTGTGTCATGCATTCTTTTCTATTCAGCTTAGAGACAGTGAGAGTTTCTGTTTAACTTCTCATACAGAAGTCGCCACTTTGAAAGTTCAAAACCCACTCAGTACTGTACTGGAGTGTTAGCTTGTCTTCTGGAGTGGGACTTGAACTCACAACCTTCTGAATCAGAGGTTTGAGCGACCAATTGATTTGCAGCTGCCTGAAAATGAATTCCAAAGATTCAACAGTTTATAATGATTAACTGAACCACAAGGTTAAAGAACCTGTTTTATGACATAGCTTCTGCATTTATACTAATTCTATTGTCACTGTTTTTCTTAATGCGATATTCACCGCGGTTATCCATAAATTCTGCGACTGATTACTTTCCATAAAATTTCCAATATCTAGTAGAAGATAACTGATCAAATATGCTTAAGTTTAAACAAAGTCTATGTATAGGAATTGAGTATTTCTTGATCTTGTACTTGGCAAAATGGAAAAAACACATTTTGTTGAAGCTTTTCATCGTGCTCTCATCAGGACAATTCAGAAGAATAACAATTCAGGGGAAAAACAACATTTATGCAGCCTGAGAAGAGAGAGTTGATTGGTTAGCATGTAGAACCTGATCAGTAGAGGCAATGCCATGGAGAATGCAGCGATTAATTTATTAACAGTTAACTGCCAAGCTTTATTAAAAAATAGTTTTGTCTTGAAGACTGGCTGAACATATCAGACATACACCTCTGCTGCTTGCCAAAGCAAGGTACTGCCTGGACCCCAACTAGCCTATGCTTGCAAAGCCCAGCAATGACCCAGCATGGCAGCCTCATCCGGAAGGGTGGTCTCGGCTTGGCATGTTGGTTTCCGGGTTTGGCAGTCATGTCTTGGTGTGGAGCTCTTCTTTGCTGCCAGCTTTGGGATATTCGAGCGTTCGTCGTTTTAATCGGCTTGACCTGAACGGAAGTTGATCTGAGATGAACTTTGTCTTAAGAAGAAACGAAAAAGTCAAAATTATCTATGACTTTTTTATGTCATTAATACAGGTGGTAAGGCGACTAAAAATTTCTCTCTTTTTATGTAAAAATACACGTGACAATAATTGCTATTCTATTCTAAACACACGGCACAATGACCAACATTAAATGTGATTGTGATTGGACAACATTTGCTAGGTAACCCTGAGAGAATTGTCCTGAAATACAATTCAGGATTATCAGTCGGGCTCAGTGTGGCATACTGCTTGTATATCAAGCTACATGTATTAATACACAGACCCCTGCTTTACAAACGCACAGAAAATGAACATGTTCTATCTGTTTTAACTCAAAATAGGTGACAGCCATTTGTCAGTTCATTTTTGGGGCAATGTACCTAGTTTAAAATTTTTAAGCAAAGCCTGGCCGTCAGTCGTCATCAATTATTGCAATATACATGGTGGCCCCTCAACTAGAGTCTACTTGCCAAGTAATCAGCATTTCCCTTCATGCAATATATATGTTTTTCCCTTGAGTTGGTATTCATGCAGATTGTCTCGATCAGGGCAAGATGAAAGTTGTCTTTTTACTCTTTCAGTTCCCTTGACTACACTTCTTCATGCCCGCTGTTCAGTAAGGATTCCATTTCCATTCTTGGTTTCTCCATTATACCTGTTTCAATGATGCCAGTTTCATCCCTTCCTTCCCAGAGCAGTGATAAGATTGCTCTCGATCTCATTTTCCACACCCACCAGCTTCAAATAATCATCCTCTGCATTTCAGCCAACTCCAGCAGGATGCTGTACCCAAGCCCCTCTTTTCCTCATCAGCATTCCACAGGGACCATTCCCTCCTCGCACCTTTGATCTGACCTTTGTCACTTCTAGCAGCTCTTCACACCAGTATGGTAGTTCCCCGTGCAATTGCAGAAGATATAACACTTGACCTTCTTCCTTCTATGCCACGTTATCCAAGGCCTCAGCTTCCCCTTACAGGTGAAACAGTGATTTGCTTGTACGTCTTTCAAACCGATCTACTATATTCACTTAATGGTGAGGTCTACTCTATACTGGCTTCACCAGATGCAGATGGGTGATTGCTTTGCTTTGTGAAACACCTCCGCTCATTCTGTAGAAATAATCCTGATCTTCCAGTCACTTGCCATTTCAAAACACCATCTTGCTGTCATGCTAACATTTCTATCCCAGGCCTGCTGCAATATTCTAATGAAGCCCGATATAAGCTGGAGGAAAAGCACCTCCTTTTCCACCTCGTTACTTTACAGCTTTCAGGATTCAACCTTTTTGAATTCAACAATTTTGAGTGTGAACACTGTCCTTCATTTTTGAGCACCCCACCCCACCCAGCCCCCATCACTACCAGTATCTTGTTTGCTGTCACCCAAGCAGACCTGTTTTCTGCTATCAATACCTATCGTGAATACCATTACTGCCTAGTCATCATTTATAGCTTTCCTCTACAACTACTCACTTTACCTTTTGCTTACGACTTCAAAATCAGTTCCATCTGCTCCTTTCCTCCTCAGCATAAACACCATCCTTTTCCGGTTGCCTTCAGTTCTGAAATTTAGTTCCAATGTATCATCAAATCTCTAGCATATGTGCAGTACTTTAATTTTATTTGACTATTAACATGGCTTCTGTTCTTTCATCTTTCCTATTCTGTTTAAAATTCTAAGAACAGGTGCTGATGGAATCTTGAAATTATATAAATGTACAGTCAAAGAAGCAACTATTCACCTCCTTCATATCATATCAATACTGGTTCTTAGAACCATCCAAAACTAATCCTGTGCTCTATATGTGATCCAATTTTTCCCTCAAGAAATGCTGCAAAATTGTTGTTCGCCATTTTTATTGCTGCCACACAATCTTGCAGGTAAGACTGAAGATGCTGTGTTCCTGCTGACAAATGGGAAGCTTCCACTGTGGGCAAAAAGACTGGTAAGTTACTTGGGAGAGGAAAATGTTAATGTGGAATAAAAATGCTGATGTGCAATGAGGATGGTAGCCAGTTGCCACTTACTAACTTTTCTCACAATCCTAGCCCAGTTCTGAATTTTAACTTGTCATCTTTCCCTCTCTTTCTGAGGTAGATTTGCAAAGGAACAGTGTGGCAAAAAAGTCTGTTCATTTGGTGGACTTTACTACTTTTTACACATTTGTTTGAAGAACTTGTAAACACACTGCAAATGTACACACACTCATTTTCGGTAATGTTACCACTTTGATTAGTCGTCCTTCATTTGCAGTTGTGGGCATGTGTAATCAGGCTATTTGCTGATCTGCATGCATCCAACTGTCAGCACTCACCTAATGCAGCATTGATCACTAGATACTGATGAATCTCCTGACCATTTCTTCCTCCCATCTGCAATGCTTTCAAGACGGGAATTGACCTCTGGCTTTTCCTGAGCCCATTCCAAAGGTGTAGTATTTACCTGCTGAGCCGTCAAGTGCTTGTAAAAAAAAAAAAATCTATTGAGCCAGGCTAAATTGCCCATTTGTACAAACTTGCTGTGAGTGGTGATGGGATAAATAAAGAAACAAAACAGGAGATGAGAATGTGTCAATGATGAGTCACTGTCATCTGAAGGCAAAAGGGATGAAAATGAGAGTAAAACCAAAAGCAGACAAAGATTTAAAAAAAAAACAAAATGGGACCAGAGATTACAATCCAAAATTGTGGTGTTTGCTTTTGTGGTACTTTGATATCTGTCCTCTGTATTAACTTGCAAACTGTATCATTAGTGGAGATCATTCTTTATATGTTAGTCCTGCCTGTCAGTGGGGATGGGAGGTTAAATAATTCTGAATTGAAAAATAGGAATAAAGCAAATATATTTGTGAAAAATCCATGAAGAGGGCAGATAAGTGTGGAGCTAGAGGAGCACAGCAGTCCAGGCAGTGTCGGAGGAGCAGGAAAGTTGACATTTCGGATCGGGATCCTTCTTCAGAAATTTCTGAAGAAGAGCCCCGAACCAAAAGGGCAATTTTCCTGCTCCGCTGATGGAAAAAAATTAGTCATGAATGAAGACTCATTAAAATCAAACTTAGTGACAACAATTTTCAAAAATGTTCACTTTCTTGCAACATCTTTTGCAGGAAGCAGGTGATGGAAATGTACAGGATAGAACTGTAAATAGCACTGTTGAAGCATTCCAGCCACGAGGAAGATGGGCTGAGAGAATGGACAAAGATTTTATTCACTCCATCTTGGGAAGGAAGCAGTTGGAGGAATACTGTGCAACCCCAACTCCAGGCAACTTGACAGTAGCACAGGGACTGCCAAGCAGCCATTTAAAGGAACAGGACAAGTTTGGACCACAAAACTTGGATAACTTCCTTGAGATGGTCAGTGTATTGTTCATTAGTCATAGTTTGTAGTTGCTAATATCTGTTAATGGTTTCCAATAAATGGATTATGGAAGATTGGTAATGTCTACTAATGGTTCCCAATTAATGGCTTATAAACTTATATGTGGGGCGACTATTCATGAGTCTAATTAGTTGGAAGTAGGTATAACTGTCTATTAATGAAATCTTGTCTGCCTGCAGTCATAGGGATAACCCAGAATCTGGTTACAAGAGAATCCAGGCCTATGGAATTGTTGGCAATTGTTGGCCTCTAGTTGGGGACAAGATTGGTGATGATCAAGTCTATTTTTATGTGCCAAGGGCATAATGGATACCATGGAATACTTAAAAAATTATAGAATTTTACATTCACAAGGAGGTTATTAGGTCCCCCATGTCTATACCAACTCCTGAAAGAGGTATCCGGCTGATCCCAGTTTCCACTCCAATCTTCATAGTCCTCAAAATTAATCCTTTTCAAATATATATCCAGCTCTCTTTTGAAATCTCCTACAGAATCTGCCTTTGCCATACTCCCAGGGGATGCATTCCAAATTCTAACAACTGAGTAAAGAAGTTTGTCCTCATTACACTTCTAGCTGTCTTGCTGATAATATTAAAACTGTGACCCTGGTTACTGACATACCAACTTGTGGAAACAGAGTTTCCTTCTTTAAAATCTGAGAAAGGGTCACTGGACCCAAAACGTTAATTTTGGTTTTTCTTCACAGATGCTGCCAGACCTGCTGAGCTTTTCCAGCAACTTCTGTTTTTGTTCCAATTTCCTCCTTTGTCCTATCAAAATTGTTTATAATTTTGATCACCTCAAAAAGGTCTCCTGTTAATCTTCCCTTCGCTAAGGAGAATAAGCTCACTTCCTCTAATCTTGCCTGGTATTCGATATCCCTCATTCCTGCAATCATTCTAGTAAATCTCCTTTGCACAGTCTCCAGGGCTTTAACATCTTTCCCTTTTTAAGGTGCCTAGAATTGGCACAATATTCAGAATGTGATCTGACCAATGATTTGTAGAGGCTATGCATCACTTTTGTTTTCGTTTGTGGGATGTGGACATTGCTGGCAGGCCAGCATTTATTGCCCGTTCCTAGTTGCCCTTGAGAAGGTGTTGGTGAGCTGTCTTCTTGAACTGCTGCAGTCCACCTTCTGTGGGTTTACCCACAATGCCACAAAAGTCATTGATGAAGCAGCTGAAGATGGTAAGCTGATGACACTACCCTGAGGAACTCCTGCAGAGATGTCCTGGAGCTGGCATGACTGACCTTCCACAACCGCAATCATCTTCCTATGTGTCAGGTATGATTCTATACACAGGAAAGCTTTCTCTGAAATTCCTATTGATTCCAGTTTTTCCAGGGAATTCCAGGTTTTTGACCCAGCGACAGTGAAGGAACAATGATATATTTCCAAGTCAGGACGCTGAGTGGCTTGGAGGGGAACTTGGAGGTGGTGTTCCCCTTTATCTGCTGCCCTTATCCTTCTAGATGGATGTGGTCATGGATTTGGAAGTGCTGTCTAGCGATCTTTGATTTTCTGCAGTGCATCTTGTAGATTGTAGTAGTAGTAGTAGTAGTAGTAGTAGTATTGGCAGCAGCAGCATGTACTGACCATTGTTGATGGAGGGAGTGGATGCTTGTGGATGTAATGCTAATCTAGCAGGCTGCTTTGTCCTGGTTGGTGTCAAACTTCTTGTGTTGATGGGGCTGCACTCATCCAGGCCAGTGGGGAATATTCCATCACACTCCTGACTTGTGCCTTTGTAGATGGTGGGCAGGCTTTGAGGAGTCAGGAGATATGTTACTTGCCTCAGTATTCCTAGCCTCTAACCTGCTCTCATAGCCTGTGTTTATGTGGTGAGTCCAATTGAATTTCTGGTTAATGATAATGCCCAGATGTTGTTAGTGGGGGATTCAGTGATGGTAACAACATTGACTGTCTCTTGGTCATAGCTTGGCATTTGTGTGGCATGAATGTCACTTACCACTTGTCAGCCCAAGTCTGGATACTGTCGAAATCTTGTTGCATTTAGACATGGATGCTTCAGTATCTGAGGAGTCACGAATGGTGCTGCACATTGTACAATCATTGACAAACATCCCCATTTCTGACCTTATGATGGAGGGAAGGTCATTGATGAAGCAGCTGAAGATGGCTGGGCCTAGGACACTACCCTGAGGAACTCCAGAGATGTCCTAGAGCTGCGATGACTGACCTTCATCAACCGCAGGTGTGACCCTATCCACTGGAGCGTTTGCCCTGAGATTCCCACTGATTCCAGTTTTCAGGGCTCCTTGATGTAGCCTTGATGTCAAGGGCTGTCAGTCTCAGCTCACTTCTGGAATTCAGCTCTTTGTCCTTTTTGAGCCAAAGCTGCGATGAGATCCAGAGCTGAATGGTCCTGGTGAAACCCAAACTGGGTGTGCTGAGCAGGTTCAGCTTGATAGCACTGTTGATGATACCTTCCATCGCTTTGCTGAATTGAGCATAGACTGATGGAATGGTAATTGTCCAGGTTGGTGAGACACGATTTCCCATGCGCAAAGCCATGTTGGATTTATCCTGCTTTTTATGTGCAGGACACACTTGGGCAATTTTCCACATTGTTGGGTAGGTGCCAGTGTTGTAACTGTACTGGAACAGGGGGAACAGCGACTTTTGGAGCACAAGTCTTCAGTATTATTGCCGAAATATTGTCAGGGCCCCTAGCCTTTGCGGTATCCAGTGCCTCCAACTGTTTCTTGATATCACTTGGAGTGAATCTAATTGGCTGAAGTCTGGTACCTGTAATGCTGGGGATGATTGGAGGAGGCCAAGATGGATCATCCATTTGGCACTTCTGGCTGAAGATTACTGCGAAAGCTTCAGCTTTATCTTTTGCACTGATGTGCTGGGCTCTTCCATCATTGAGGATGGGGATATTTGTGGAGCCTCCTCCTCTAGTGAGTTGTTTAATTGTCCACCACTATTCACAACTGGATGTGGCAGGACTGCAGAGCTTAGATCTGATTCATTGGTTGTGGGATCGGTTAACCCTGTCTGTCACTAGCTGCTTGTGCTGTTTGGCATGCAAGTCATCCTGTTTGGTGGTTTCACCAGGTTGACACCTTATCTTCAGGTATGCCTGATGCTGCTCCTGGCATGCCCTCCTGCACTCTCCGTTGAACCAGGGTAGATCCCCTGGCTTGATGGTAATGGTTGAGTTGGGGAAATGCATGGCCATGAGGATATTTTGCTGGAGTACAGTTCTGCTGCTGTTTGATGGTCTACAGAGCCTCGTGGATGTCCAGTTTTCAGTTGCTAGATCTGTTCAAAGTCCTTGCTTTTATACTCTATACTTCTACTCATATACCCAAGGATCCAATAAGCCTTCTTAAGAACTGTTTCTTCTTGCCTGGCCACCTTTACAGAATTACGCAGTTGAAACCTGAGGTCCCTCTGCTCCTGTATTCTGCTCAAAGTTGTGCCATTGAACCTGTATTGCCTCTCCATGTTTCTTCTACCAAATTTTCTCTGCTTTCTCCTCTCATTTCTCTGCAGTAAAACTCATCAGTCAGGTGTCTGCCCACTTGGCCAACTTGTCAATGTTCTTCAGAAGTCACTCAGTGACATCCTCTCAATTCATTATTCTCCCTACCTTAATATCATCTGCAAATTCGGAAACATTGCCCACAACATTAGTAACACCTCATCAGAGTGAAGTACTTAAACTTTCTAACAAATCATAAATTATGAAGCTACCTTCTATTGAGTTATGTTGTTTGTTTGTGAAGTGTTATGTTAGTTTTACTAGCAGTGACTTCTTTTATAAAACACTGGCATGGAGGCCAACTTATTTGTGTGATAATCTAAATTGTCATATTAATTTATGTTAGATTTGTAATTCTCAATGTTGTCTAAAGCCTTTAAGCATTAAAGTGGCATGTTCAGTTTATACCACTGAGCTCTATTGAAAACCTTTCTATACATTGTCCATGTGTACTGTTAGAAAAATTAGGTAATTTAACCGTTTCGTGAGTTTATCTGATGGAGTCTCGTATCTCTGAAGTATTTCAAAAAACAAATTATGCATTAAATGGTTTAAATAGGGGACTCTCTAGTCTGAGGCACAAACGGACATTTCTGTAGCTGACACCGAGATATCAGGTGTGCTGCCTCTGATGTCTGAGGGTGTAGAATATCCTCAAAGGGAAAGGGGCCAGCAGGAGTCGTTGTACAAATTGGAACAAACTACATAGGAAGAGCAAAGAATGAGGTTCTGAGAAGATAATGTAAGAAATTTAGACAAGAATTTTAAAAGTAGGTCCTTGTGGATAGTAATATCTGGATTACACCTGATGCCTAATAGAATGGGAGGATAGCAGATGAATGCATGGTAGAGGAGTTGATGCAGGGGAGAAGGACTTATATTTTTGGATCATTGGAATCTCTTCTGGAGTAGAAGTGATCTGTATAAGAAGGACGGATTGAATTAGAAGGGGACTAATATACTGGTGGGGAGAGCTACTTGGGAGGATTTAAACTAGTGGGAGGGAGGGGAAGGCATGGAGATAGCGAGAAGAGATCAGTCTGAGACTGGTGCAGTTAGGGAAAAGGAGCAAGTCAAGCAGTCAGGGCAGGCAGGATCAAAGCAGTAATGAGGTAGGACTGATAAAATTAACCGCATTTATTTCAATGCAAGAGGCCTAATAGGTAAAGCAGATGAGCTCAGAGCATGGTTGGGAACATGGGACTGGGATATCATAGTGATTACAGAGACGTGGTTCAGGGATGGACAGGACTGGCTGCTTAATGTGCCTATAGATCCTATAGGAAGGATAGCAAGGGGATCAAGAGAGGAGGGGGATCGGCATTTTTGATTAGGGATAACATTGCAGCTGTAATCCTGGGAGTACGTCCAGAGAAGTTATTTGGGTAGAACTGAGAAATAAAAAAGGCTTGATCACCACATTGGGATTGTACTATAGAACCCGCAGTAGTCAACAGGAAATTGAGGAGCAAATTTGTAAGGAGATCTCAGTTATCTGTAAGAATAATAGTGTGGTAATGATAGGGGGTTTTAACTTTCCAAACGTAGCCTGGGACTGCCATAGCATCAAGGGTTTGAATGGAGAGGAATTTGTGTGTTCAAAGTTTTCTAATTCAGTGTGTGGATGTACTGACTAGAGAAGAAACAAAACTTGACCTACTCTTGGGAAATAAGGCAGGGCATGTGACTGAGGTGTCAGCGGGGGAGCACTTTGGGGCCAGTGAGCATAACTCTATTAGTTTCAAAATAGTGATGGGAAAAGATAGACCAGATCTAAAAGTTAAAGTTTTAAATTGGAGGAAGGCCAATTTTGACAATATTAGGTAAAAACCTTCAAGTGTTGATTTGGGGCAGATATTTGCAGGTAAAGGGGCGGCTGGAAAATGGGAAGCCTTCAAAAATGAGCTAATGAGAGTCCAGAGACACTATGTTCCTGTTAGGGTGGAGGGCAAGGCTGGTAGGTGTAGGGAATGCTGGATGACTAGAGAAATTGAGGTTTTGATCAAGAAAAAGAAAGAAGTATATGTCAGGTATAGACAACAGGGATCGAGTGAATCCCTGGAAGAGTATAAAGACTGTAGGAGTATACTTAAAAGGGAAATCGGGAGAGCAAAAAGGGGACATGAGATAGCTTTGGCAAATATGATTAAGGAGACTCCATAGGGATGCTTCAAATACATTAAGGACAAAAGGCTAAGTAGGGAGAGAATAAGGCCCCTTTAAAGATCAGCAGGTCTGCTTATGTGTAAAACTGCAGGAGATCTGGGAGATACTAAATGGGTATTTTGCATCAATGTTTACTGTGGAGGAGGATATGGAAGTTTGAGAACTTTGGGAAATAAATAGCAACATTGTGAAAAACGTCCATATTACAGAGGAGGGGGTGCTGAATGTCTTAAAACACAAATGTGGTCAAAACCGTGAGACCTGATTAGGTGTACTGTAGAACTGCGTGGAAAGCCAAGGAAGTGATTGCTGGGCACCTTGCTGAGATATTTGTATCATCGATAGTCACAGGTGAGGTGCTGGAAGACTGGCGGTTGGTAGTAGGGGAAAGCCAGGGAACTATAGACCGGTGAGCCTGACATCAGTGGTGGGCAAGTTTTCCTGAGGCACAGGATTTGGAAAGGCAAGGACTGATTAGGGAAAGTTAACATGGCTTTGTGCGTGGGAAACTGTGTCTCACTAACTTGATTTGAGTTTTTTGAAGAAGTAACAAAGAGGATTGATGAAGGCAGAGCAGTGGATCTGATCTGTATGGACTTCAGCAAGGTGTACAAGGTTCCGCATGCTAGACCAGTTCATAAAGTTAGATCACGTGGAATGCAGGGAGAACTGGCCATCTGGATACAGAACTGGCTCGAAGGTAGGAGACGGACAGTTGTTTTTCCAGACTGGAGGCCTGTGACCAGTGGTGTGCCATAAGGATCGGTGCTGGGTTCACTACTTTTCGTTTTTGTTATATATAAGTATATGTGTGTATGTATATTTGGATGTGAACATAGGAGATATGGTTAGCAAGTTTGCTGATGATACCAAAATTGGTAGTGTAGTGGACAAAGAAGAACGTTACCTCGGAGTACAATGGGACCTTCATCAGATGGGCCAAGGAATGGTTGATGGAGTTTAATTAAGACAGATGTGAGGTGCTGCATTTTGGAAAGGCAAATCAAGGCAGGACTTGTACACTTGATGGTAAGGTCGTGGGTGTCTTGCTGAACAAAGAGACCTTGGAGTGCAGGTTTATTGTACCTTGAAAGTGGAATTGCAGATGGACAGGATTGTGAAGAAGGTGTTTGGCATGCTTGCCTTTATTGATCAGTGCATTCAGTATAGGAATTGGGAGGTCATGTTGTGGCTGTACAGGTCATTGATTCGGCTACTTTTGGATACAGCATTCAATTCTGGCCTCCCTGCTAAGGGAAGGATGTTGTGAAACTTGAAAGGGTTCAGAAAATATTCACGAAGATGTTGCCAGGGTTAGAGGGTTTGAGCTATTGGGATAGGCTAAGTAGGCAGGGACTATTTTCCTTGGAGCATTGAAAGCTGAGGGGTGACCTTATAAAGGTTTATAAAATCATGAGGGGCATGGATAAGGTGAACAGCCAAGGTCTTTCCCTCAGGGTGGGGGAGCCCAGAACTGGAGGGCAAAGGGTTAAGGTGAGAGAGGAAAGGTTAAGAAGGATCTCAGGGGCAGCTTTTTCACCCACACAGGGTGTGTGTATGGAATGTCCTGCCAGTGGAAGTTGTGGAAGCTGGTGTAATTACAATATTTAAAAGACATCTGGATGAGTATATGAATAGGAAGGGGTTAGAGGGATATGGGCAAAATGCTGGCAAATGGGACTAGATCTCATTTTGCGATATCTGCTCGGCGTGAACGAGTTGGACCAAAGGGTCTGTTTCTATGCTGTTCAGCTCTGTGACTCTATGACTGTAAATCATGTTCTTTAGCTTATGGAAATGGCAAATTTTAGTTTTTTTGTGTTTTTTTGGATTAATGTGGAAATTGCTTTTAAAATATTTGTTCGTGGGATCTGGCCATTGCTGACTTGGCCAGCACTTAATGCCCGTTCTTAATTGCCCTTGAGAAGGTTGTGGTGTGCTGTTATTTTAAATCGCTGTAGCTTTTAAGGTGTATAGACATCCACAATGCTGTTAAGAAGGGAGTTCCACAACTTTGATCTGGCAATAGTGAAGAAATGTTCTAAGTCATGTTGGTATTTTGCCTCCAAGGGGAACTAGCCTATGTTCCCATGCATCTGCTGCCCTTGGTGGTAAAGTACGTGGATTTGGGATATGCCGTTGAAGAAATCTGGGTGGTTTCTTGGAAGTGTTCTTGAGCTCTTTGATTCCTGGGTTTCAAGGTTTTCTGAGGAATTTTGAGTAGGTTGAAATCCAGAAAAATGAGAGGTGATCTTATCGAAAAATATATATTCGGTTCGGAGTAGACATGCCTGAGAAGCTGAAAAGATATTTCCCCTCATGGGGAAAACTAGAATTAGGTGCATAGTTTAAAATGAAAGGATCTCCCGTTTGAGACAGCTGAAAAATTTTGAATGCTGCTTGTCTTTGGAATTCTCTTCTGCACAGACAGTTGAGGCCAGCTAGAAAAATTTGTGTTTTACAAGGAAATTGAGGGCCATTTGGTGGGTGCGGGCAGAAAAGTGAAGTTAAACCACTATCAAATTAACCATTAACTTAATGAATGGCAGAGCAGGTTCAATACATCAAATGGCCTACTGTTTCTTCATGTGATTTTATCAAACGGCAAGCTCTCTGTAAAATGCACAAATTTCTAGCTTATTTGGAGCCACACAGTTGGAACAGGGAGAAACTTTACACTATCAATAAAAGAATAAACTGCAACCCCTTAAGAAATTCACTGGCAACCTTGCACTGCAAGGATATGGAATCCAGAATTTCTACCACCGAAGCAAACTAAAAGCAAGTATGTGAAAGTCTCGACTTAGGAGTCTAACGGACTATAAGTTGCACCATACATTCCTTTCAAAAGTGCCCTTCTTTCTAAAGTCATTCATTATAACTGGGTGAATAATGATTGTACTTTGTGGAACATTCTTTATGGAACTGAATTAACATAGTTGATGAGTCCTCAATTTCTAGGTAATTCACTACAACAGACTATGAATATCCCTGTAAGTGTGATTTTTCAATCACACAAGGATGAGAATCTGAGAAAGCATGAGTGACAGAATGAATGGAAGTGGAGGGGTTACTTTCATGTGCAACATCACAGAAAATTTCGCAAGTCTAGCATTAGTAGCAACTACATGCTTATACGAATTGTTATACTGATTATAGTTGTTAAATTTATAACATTTATATTTATGATTTTAAGTGTCATTGAAAATTTTGCTTAGGTTTTATGCTGGTTTATGCTTACTAATTGTCGTCTTTGCAGTTATGAAAAATTGAATTATCGAAGAATTTGATGACACAACTCTTGAGATTTTCTTGCTTTATAATGATGCAAGTTGCCCATAAGCTTCCAGACTTGGTAGAAAGGGTGTCTGTGATCGCAATTACCTAGTATTGGCAATTGACAATTTTTACGCAATTTTATAAGTTTAAGTTTAAGCAGACGTTTAGATATGATACATTAGTTAATTAACTAGAGAAAATATGCACACCTGTGACAATTGGAGATGGTTCACTGAAACCAGAAGACTAACAGGCTGTTGGCGTGGAATATGTTGATCTCATTAAAGTTATGAAGGCAGCTCTATGAAGTCTTGGCACAACTGTACAGAGACAGCGGTTGCAGTAGTGTGGTCCCCATATTTGAGAGGATATATCAGCACTGGTGACAGTGAATCTCTTTTGAAGTCTGATTTTTGAATGATGGTGTTAACTTGTCAAGAATGGATGGCTAAACAGATTAGGCCTTTATTTGTTAGAGTTTAGAACAATGCGGAAGATCTTATGGAGGCATACAAGGATTCTGAGGGGACTTGAAGGGCTAGATGTTGAGACAATGTTTCATCTGGTGTGGGAATCTCGAACAAGCAGATGTAGTTGCACTCATTTAAAAATGACATGCAAAGGATTTCCTGAGTGTAGTGAATGTCTAGAACTCTCTACCTGAGAGATTTATGAAGGCTAAATCACTGAAAATATTTAGAGAAGAGAGATTTTTGAGATATAACAGCTATGATGAGCTGGCACAAAAGAAGAGTTGAGGTCTGGAGTAGACCTTAAATGGTTCAAGGGGACAAATGGCCTACACCTGTTCCTATTTCCTATTTCTTTTGTTCTTATGAAATTGTGGGGTGAATTGGTGGTGTTTCATTCTTTGGAACAATGTTTAGATTAAATATGCCATAAAAAAGTACTGTCTTTCATAATTAAGACCACTTTAAACTTTCTATATTTTTTTTCTTGCTTTTAGATGGAGTTATCCCCCAGCCTTTTGTCAAGAGAGTCCATGGGAAGGCCGAGCTCTATTTGCCTGGAGGATGCAGACAATGCATGTTCCCGTGAAGTGGATACTGTGGAAATGGAGCTAAGTGCACCAATGTTTTATCCAGTGCAAAATGATCATTCTACCAGCACAGAGAAGTAGGTATTCATTGGCAGTATTAAATATTTGAGTACTGAAGTTGTTTTTTGATTTGAATGCAAGTTTTTAGTCCCTAGAACTGGTTGAACTTAAAATCAATCTATTCATGCTTTACTTTAGAATGACCAGTATTTATCAGATACAGTATAAAGTGTATTGTAGACTGGAGTTAGAGATATGGCCCAGCCTCCCCATCTAAATTTTTTATTTTAGTGAAATTGTTTGTCACCAGGGAGTGGACTGAGAGATTTTTAAATGAGTAGCATTCCAAATTGGTTATTCTGATAGAAGCAGCTAAAATGTAGGTGGCATCCCAATTCTTCAGTGGGAGGGCAAAAATGGGGATAAGTTGCTACAGGCAGTCACCCCTCATATGATCGTGGAAAGCATTGCTTTGCAGCATATGCAGTTGTAAGAAGGAACAAAAGTTACACACAATCATTTTATATTTAATCCCAACATTTAGTAAGTTTCTACACCGTCAGGTTCTGGCATCCACACAACAGCCAGAACCCCAGTATCTTGAACTTATTGTACATTAACATTGTATCTTTCATTGCACACCAGTGATTATCAAGTAAAAGAGCCTCCAAAGAAACTACTGGAGAGTGAATCTGAATGGAAAATTGTGCATTCAGTGGAGAACAGTCCTGACAGCGCCTATTCAATGGATTCGGGCAGCAATGAACAACAACAAGATGGTGAGAAATGCCCAAAATTTGTCTGTTTGAGAAGTTAATCGGTAGAGAAAAGTAGAGTTAAATGTACTGACGTTAATAAAATTGATGCTCAAGTAATTTGGCACAGCTTAAATGTACTAAAGCTCTTGAGGTAGACAGCTAAATGTATTTCCAAAATAATGCTAAGTTTGATTTTTATCAGTAGTTTATTTCACAATCTTGACGTTTCATCCATCTAAACTGGGGTTGCACAAGCCGTTGGATTAAGTAACTCCTGTAGGTTGGCAGCTATCTGGTTTGCCATCAACAGTTGACTTTTTATTTTTCCCATATAGTTTTCATATTATTCTTATTCATTCAGGGAATGTAGATGTTGCTGGCTGGGACAGCATTTGCTGCCCTTCCTTTGTTATTGTTGAGAAGGTGGTGATGAGCTACCTTCTCAAGGGTAACTAGGGAACAAGCAAAAACGCCCACATACAATGAGTGATATTTTTTTCTTTTTCTTTTTCTTTCCCCAAAAAAAAATCTTGCCAAGGAAGATTGCTCCATCTGTGGCACAATTGTTGCCAAATTCAGCATTCATGTTATCCCAATGGCATAAGTAATTATCTAGTAGGGGTTCGGTTTGAGTTTCTATTCTGGAAAAACTGCTTCATGGGTTTTAGGCCACAGTTCAAGTTGGGCACAAATGACAATAAAAATAGCTGTTTCTTTGCTAGTGCAAATTTGTATAACTTCACGTCATATGGCTCACATAGATGTTTTTCCATACCTACATTGATGAGATATGACTAAGTCTCTAATTGGTACTTTACTGCTACACTGGCAGCAAGTGAAGACAGGTTCCAAGACGGAATCAGTAGAGGAGTTGGATAGGATGAAGAGATGAGCAGGAAAAACCGTCCCACCTGGATGGATGCATCCTATGTTATTTAACACCTAGGTATAAATTGCAGATGCCTTGGCCACAAACTTCCAATCTTCTTTGGATGTGGGGCTAGTCCCAGATGACTGGACCTTTGCAAATGTTACGCCAGTGTTTAAAAAATGGAGTGAGATGTCTGCCTGGCAACTTCAAGCCAGTCACTAGTAGAGAAACTTTAAGAAACAATAATCCAGGGAAATGAATTCAGGCCAATGGAAGCCAGGAGAATTGTAAAAGGTAAGTCTTGTTTGACTAACTTGAGTTCTTTGAAGTAATGGAGTGATTGATAGTGTGAATATGAACATTTAAAAATGTTTGATTAAGTACCACGTAATAAATTTGTAAGCAAAATTGAATCTATAGGAGCAAATAAACAGTAACAATGTGCGTTTGAAGTTCATCAAGGGATAGAAAGCAATATGTCAATGATCAATGCAGAAATTTGGCTTCTCTAGCTTGTTCCATCGTATGATAAGATCTTGGAAAATCTGTGCCTTCAATTCTACTTTCCTGCCTATTCTCAGTATTCTCTTTTTGACTCCCTCGTCAAAGGTTAATCTATAGTAAACAATGAGGAACGTAGTAAGATACTTTGAGGGAACGTACAGTGGTGAAATGAAATACCTGAATATATGGCAGATTAAATTTTCATACAAATGATTGAAGTGATACTTTGGGGTACAAACCTATGAACAATCCCATGAAGCAAGATAAAAGAAATAGCATAGCTTTAAAGGGGCTGCAGCAACAGACTATTATGTAATTCAGTGAAGATAACAGTAAGTTAAAGTGCATATTCCCTTTGTTTGTGGGGCACGAGTCCTTTTGTGTGAATCTATCATTTCTAAGCAATTTTACAATTCACATCAATATCTTGGCAAAGGGGAGTAAAGGATGTTAGCTAAATTTGCAAACGACACCAAGTTAGATTGGATGTGTATTTTGTGAAGAAGATGAGAAGTTTGCAGACAGCTATAGATGAGTTGAGTGAATGGGTAAAAATCTGGCTGATGGACTATAATATGAGGAAAAGAAAGTTTATTTCTTATTTCCTCCCTATTGGGGCGGCATGGTTAGCACTGCAGCCTCACAGTGCCAGGGACCCGGGTTCGATTCCAGCCTCGGGCAACTGTCTGTGTGGAGTTTGCACATTCTCCCCGTGTCTGCATGGGTTTCCTCCGGGTGCTCTGGTTTCCTCCCACAGTCCAAAGATGTGCAGGATAGGTGGATTGGCCATGCTAAATTGCCCGTAGTGTTCAGGGGTGTGTGGGTTATAGGGGGATGGGTCTGGGTGGGATGTTGCGAGGGTCGGTGTGGACTTGTTGGGCCGAAGGACCTGTTTCCACACTGTGTAGGGACTCTATGATGACTATTGACTGGCAGGAAGATTTAAAATACGGAGTATTAGAGAATTACTGTGGAATTCTGAGGTGCAGAGGGATTTATTGTTCTACTGCATGAGTCGTAGAAAGGTAGTATGTAGGTATAACATATAATCAAGATGGCTGAGAGGGTTGAGCAACTTTGGGACACTCCACTTAAGTGGAGGCAACCATTAAATATTTTTAAGGTGGAGGTAGATTCTTACTGGGCAGAGGAATCCAAGATTTTTGGGGCTAGGTAGGAATGGAATTCAAAATACAAAGAGATCATTGAGTTATTGTTATACAACCAGGAAACATACCCTTTGGTCAGATATCCTAAACTGATCTAGTCCCACTTGTCAGCATTTGGCCCATATCCCTCAAAAGCCTTCCTCCTCATGTACTCCTCCAGAAAGCTTTTTAATGTTGTCATTAACCTCCGTCCTTCACCTTCTCTGGCAGCCCACTCCATACACACACACCACTCCTGTGTGAAAAAGTTCCCCCTCCGATCCCTTTTAAATCTTTCCCCTCTCACCTTAAGCCTCTGCCTTCTAGTGTTGGACTCCCCTAGTCTGCGGGGAGAAAAGACCTTGGCTATCACCCTATCAATGCCCATCATGATTTTGTAAATCTCTAAAAGGTCAACCCTCAGCCTCTGACACTCCAGGGAAGAAAGCTCCAGCCTATTCAACTTCTCCCTCCAGTTCAAACCCTCCAAACTTGGCAGCATCCTTGTAAATCTTTTCTGAACCCTTTCAACTTTCACAACGTCTTTCCTACACAGACTAGAGAGAGAGACTGAGAGAGAGACTAGGGAAACTAGAATGGTATGCATTATTCTAAAATTGGCCTCATCTTGTCCTGTACAGCCCACCATGAGCCATGATCTTATTGAATGGGGAGGCAGGCTGAAGGGGTTCATATTTGGTGTGTTCGTAATGGGGCTAATTAAGCAGTTGTTCTGAACAATTGGTACGTGCATGCTTGTGTGTATGGGCTGAATGGCCTCTGATCATTTTGTGATTCTGTGATCAGCTCTGGTTTATAAATTATTAATAATCTATTTTCATTAGTTGATGATGCAAGGACTATAGGATAATGAAAGAAGACTTTGGGCGTCAAATCCAATGTGAGGATTAACATTTTTACACAACGAGAAGTACTGACCAGGAATTCACTGCCCATGAAAAAAAATTGGTTAGGCACTTCAAGGAAAGGCTACCTTCAAGGAAAGAGATAGATAATGGGACTGACTGGATTGCTCCTTTGGGACTTGGCATTGACTTGATGACTTCTGTACAATTAATGCAGCTGACTTGTATGTTAGAGCTCCTGCAAATTGCATTTTAAGTGGTGGTTTTCTGTATGATAGATCCAAATGTAATAGTTTGTTTTTGTCTGTTGAAACAGGTACCAAATCAAAGAACAAAAAAGTAGTACGGCAAAGGAACAGGTCCTTTGGCCCTCCAAGCCTGTGCTAGTCATCATGTCCTGACTAAACTAAAAAGACAAACCTTCTGCCCTTATTCGGTCCATATCCCTCTATTCCCTCCCTATTCATGTTACCATCCAGACACCTCTTAAATGTCTGCTTCCACCACCACCACCTCTAGCAGTGCATTCCAGGCTCCTACCACTCTCTACGTGAAAAACTTACCTCGCACAACTCCCTTAAACTTTTGCCCTCTCACCTTGAACCTGTCCTCCCTTGTAATTGAAACTTCAACCCCTGAGTATAAACCTCTGACAATCCACCCTGTCTATGCCTCTCATAATTTTGTAGACCTTTATCAGGTCTCCTGTCAGCCGCCGCCTTTCCAGTGAAAACAATCCTAGTCTTGTTAACCTTTTCCTCATAGCCAATGCCCTTGAGACCGGGCAACATCCTGATAAACCTTCTCTGCACTCTCTCCAAATCTTCTAAGTCCTTCTGGCAATGTGGTGACCAAAAGTGCACATAATACTCCAAATGCAGCCTAACAAGCGTTTTATATAGCTGCAACATGTTTTGCCAACTCTTGTGCTCCATGCCACATGCTTTCTTAATCACCTTCGCTACCTGTGTTGCTTCTTTTAGGGAACTGTGGACCTGCACACCCAGATCTGTCTTAATGTTAATGTTCCTAGGGGTTCTGCCATTAACAGTATAATTCATACCTGAGTTTTATCCTCCAAAATGCATCACCTCGCATTTATCTGGATTAAGCTCCATCTACCATTTCTGTGCCCAAGTTGCCAATCTATCTATATCCTGTTGTATCCTTTCACAATCATCGGCACCAGCATCACTACCAATCTTCGTGTCATCCGCAAACTTACTAATCAGACCACCCGCATTTTTCTTCAGATTATTTATATATACTGCAGACAACAGAGGAGCTAAGACTGATCTCTGTGGAACACCACTAGTTACTGGTTTCCATTCTGAAAAACACCCTTCCACTGCTACCCTCTGTCTTCTATGACAATGCCAGTTTTGTATCCATCTAGCAGGCCCACCCCGAATCCCATGTGATTTTAGTTTTTTTACTAATCTGCCATGTGAGACTTTATCAAATGCCTTACTAAAGTCCATATACACTACATCCACAGCTCTTCCCTCATCAATTATCTTTGTTACCTCTTCAAAATATTGAATCAGGTTGGTGACACATGACCTTCCCTGTACAAAACCATGCTGCCTATCGCTAACTAGTCCATTTTCTTCCAAAAATGTGCATATATCCTGTCCCTCAGTATCTTTTCCAAGAGCTTTCCCACCACAGATGTCAGACTTGCTGGCCTATAATTTCCTGGATTACCCCTGCTTCCTTTCTTAAACAAGGGAACAACCTCGTCTGTGGTCAAGGAGTATGTGAAGATATCCGCTAGTGGCCCAGCTATTTCTTCCCTTGCCTCTCGCAGAAACCTGGGATAGATCCCATCTGGCCCTGGGGACTTGTCTACTTAATGCAATTTAGGATACCCAAAACTACTTCCTTTAATATTGACATTCTCTAGACTATTCACACACTCATCCCTGACCTCTATGAATACCGATACAAAGTACTTAAGGATCTCTCCCACTTCCTGTGGCTCCACGTATAACTTCCCTCCTTCTGCCCTTGAAGGGGCCTACTCTTTCTTTTGCTACCCTCTTTCTTCTAGTATATGCATAAAAATCCTTGGGATTCTCCTTGACCCTGTTTGCTAAAGACATTCCATGACCTCTTTTAGCCTTCCTAATTCTAAGTCTAAGTGTGATCAAGTATGTGGATAAGAGAAGTTCATTTGATGTAGTTTATATGGATTTTAGCAAGGCTTTTGACAAGATCCCACCTTGGAGACTGAGAAGGTGAAAGCACATGTAATTGAGGGAAACACTGCAAGATGGATCAAAAACTGACTTATTTATAGGACATAAAGTGTAGTGGTAGAAGGCCTGGGATGGCAGTGGAGGCTATAAACCTTACAGCCCCTTTAAAAAGAAAAATTTGGATGGGTACTTCAAATATCATAACTTAAAGATATAGGACAAGTGCAGGAAATTATAATTAGCGTGCTTTTAGTGGTACTTATGTCGGTGCAGACTTGAAGGACCAAAGAACCTTTTCTGCTCTGTGAATCTATGAAGTGCATTATGAAAATTAGAAAGCTGTAGGTAAACCCTGACTGTACTTTCCATATCTTTTCTGACACAACCCTAGATTCTGATTCTGTGGGCCAACTGAGTTCTGATGGTCATTATTCGGGATTGGAGGAAGAGGAGGAACAATGTTGTGCAGTTCTACAGGAGTCACATGCAGCAAAAACACCAGACCAGGAAAAGTTTCTCAAGCACAACTTTGAAACCTTGGCTAATGAATTTTCTAATGGTAACAACCTGTATATAATATGGTTTACTTTCCTGGTGAGCTTTGACTACGAACTATTTGTAATAAGTGACTAAAATCAGTTTGTTAATTTGCAGAGAAATTTGACAGCACCCTGAAAGATTTACAGCCAAATGCAGAAAATGAAAGCAGTTTTTTCCTGAATCCTCGTTTGAGTATCTCTGCAAGATTTCTGTCCCGCTGCCAGAAAAACAGCAGGTTCGTGTTTTACTGTCCTAAAAATATTTAGAGTTTAATAGTGTTTTCAAAAAAACTTGCAACCTTCTTCAGGCTCTTGGTTGTATTTTAGCAATAGTTCACTTGAAAAACTGATTCGAATCGTGTCTGAGATTTGCCTAATAATTTAAAAGTTCTTGATGCATTATACTGCATTACATCTCCAGTGCATTAAATCTTTGTCTAAAGCTCTGTCATTTCTGTTCAAACTTGAGATTGATCAGTTTAATTGCTGGTCTCTGGTTTTCACAATTTGAATTGTCCAATGTAAAATCTGATGTGGCACACAACAAATCTTCCAGACCAGGCAGAAAATAGATTTGACTTAAGATTTATTTGCAGGATTGTCCCTTGAAGGTGCAACAAACTGTTGACTTTTTGAAATTCATATGTGCTATCTTTTTCTGGTCTTTATCAGAGTGAAAATTTATTTGACATGGAGGCATCAGTTCTGAGTCTTATTTTCACCTATGATATGCCTGCACATTTTCAGCAGAAATTGCTGAGTGGTATTAAACAATAGCATTGTTCACTTCTCCACTTTCACTTGGATTCTGCTGTCAATTTGTGTTACTACCAGTCGCTAACGCAGCACAAACTACTGATAGAAGTCAAGGCCTTCTGGTTCTGAAGCAGACTGGATATTGATATTTTAAATTATTTCATTATGTGCCCTCTTTACAGAAAATCAGTAATTTTTGATAAACAGGATAATTCAAGATTATTGTCCAGTGGGAAATTTTCAGATCATTCAATATTTTACATTGACGTGCTTTAGATTTGTTATTTCAGGCATGTGTTTTTCTGAATATACACTTTTTCCTCACAGAATGGCAGCAGCCTTCCCTCCTAAAGTCCAGCAGCAGTTCCAACATCTGCCAGATGTGAGTAGCCAACATAGCATCGATTTGTTCATTGGAAAATTTGAAAAACTAAGATTGTCCCACCCCTGTATATGTATGTGGTGATTATGGAGTTACTTCTAGTGCAGTTTTCAATTTTAATCTCACATGTCCCACTGCAGTTGTCTGAGTTTATATTCCTGTTTTCCTGTGACAGCATAGTGCTAAGTTCATTAATTTAAACTGAGCATGGCCTCCTATTGCAAGTTAGACAACTGCAGTATTTTAGTATCAATTCTTTAGCCTGTTTCACTTCAATAATAACTTTTGTGCTAGGAGTGTGGATTACAAGCTTATACGGGCTGGATTTTACATGTCACAGTTAGCAGTGGTGGAAAAACTGCTAACCTAGGCAGATTGGCACAATGTATCCTGAGCCGATCACTTGGTTTGGAGATGATTTTAACTCCTGCATAAAGCCTGCAGTGCCAAATTAAATAATTAAAAGGAATTGAGTATGATAAGAAATTAGATTAATTGTCTTGAAATAGAGTAGCTACTTAAATTCTTTATTTGGTAAAGTCAGTCAGAAATCCATCATCAGATGGAACAAATTCAATAATTCTAGTTCTAAGGGAAAAGGTACTGTCCAGAATCTGCGTGTAATTCAGGAGATGCAGCAAAAGTTCATTCCGAGGGAAAAGAAGCATGGTACAGGGAGGATGAGGCAACGATGGCTGACTAAGGAAGTCAGGGATAGCATAAAAGCAACAGAGAAAGTATATAATGTGGCGAAGGGCAGTGGGAAACCAGAAGACTGAGAAGCTTACAAAGACCAACAGAGGGCAACAAAAAAAGAAATAAGGAGGGAGAAGATTAAATATAAGGGTAAGCTAGCCAATAATATAAATGAAGACTGTAAGAGTTTCTTTAAATGTATAAAGGGCAAAAGAGATGCAAAAGCGGACATTGGACCACTGGAAAATGACGGTGGAGAGATAGTAGTGGGGAACAAGGAAATGGCTGAGGAATTGGATAATTACTTTGCGTCAGTCTTCACAGTGGAAGCCACTAGTAATATCCCAAAAATTCAATAGAGTCCGGGGGCAGAGCTGAGTATGGTGGCCATCACCAAGGAAAAGGTGCTAGTAAAACTGACTGGCTTGAAGGTGGACAAATAACCTGGATCAGATGGACTATACCTCAGAGTTCTTAAGGAGATAGCTGAAGAGATAGTGGAAGTGTTAGTGGTGATCTTTCGGGAATTGCTAGAGTCAGGGAGTGTCCCAGAGGACTGAAAAATCGCTACCATGACACCCCTGTTTAAAAAGGAAATAAGGCAAAAGATGGAAAATTATAGGCCGATTAGCCTAATCTCGGTCGTTGGTAAGATTTTGGAGACCATTGTGAAGGATGAGATTTCTGAATATTTGGAATTGTGTAGTAAAATAAGGCAAAGTCAGCTTGGTTTCATCAAGGGGATGTCATACCTGACAAATCTGTTAGAATTCTTTGAGGAAGTAACGAGCAGGGTAGACCAAGGAGGGCCAATGGATGCTATCTACCTGGATTTCAAGAAGGTCTTTGATAAGGTGCCACACAGGAGGCTGCTGAGCAAGATAAGGGCCCATGGTGTTAGAAGCAAGGTGCTAGCATGGATAGAAGATTGGCTGTCTGGCAGAAAGCAGAGAGTGGGGTTAAAAGGGTCTTTCTCAGGACGGCAGCTGGTGACAAGTGGTGTTCCACAAGGGTCAGTGTTGGGACCACAACTTTTCACTTTATACATTAATGATCCAGATGAAGGAACTGTGGGCATTCTGGCTAAGTTTTCAGATGATACAAAGATAGGTGGAGGGACAGGTAGTATTGAACGGGTAGGGAGGCTGCAGAAGGATTTGGACAGGTTAGGAGAGTGGGCAAAGAAGTGGCAGATGGAGTACAACGTAGGAAAGTGAGGTCATGCACGTTGGTAAGAAGAATAAAAGCATGTACTATTTTCTAAATGGGGAGAAAATTCAGAAGTCCGAGGTGCAAAGAGACTTGGGAGTTCTAGTCCAGGATTCTCTGTAGGTAAACTTGCAGGTTGAGTCAGTAGTCAGGAAGGCACATGCAATTTTGGCATTTATTTTGAGAGGACTTGAATATAAAAGCAGGGATGTACTACTGAGGCTTTATAAGGCTCTGGTCAGGCCACATTAGGAGCATTGTGCACAGTTTTGGGCCCCATATCTCAGGAAAGATGTACTGGCCCTAAAGCGGGTTCAGAGGAGGTTCATGAGAATGGTCCCAGGAATGGAAAGCTTAACATATGAGGAAAGTTTTGAGGACTGGGACTATACTCGTTGGAGTTTAGAAGGATGAGGGGGAATCCAATTGAAACTTTCAGAATACTGAATGGCCTGGACAGAGTAGATGTTGCGAAGATGCTTCCATTGGTAGGAGAGACTAGGACCCGAGGACACTGCCTTGGAGTAAAGGAAAGACCTTTTCGAACGGAATAAGGAGAAACTTCTTTAGCCAGAGAGTGGTGAATCTATGGAATTCACTGCCGCAGAAGGCTGTGGAGGCCAGATCATTGAGTACATTTAAGATTGAGATAGATAAGTTCTTGATTATCAAGGGTTACGGGGAGAAAGCAGGAGAATGGGCTTAAGGAACTTATCAGCCATGATTGAATGGTGGAGCAGACTCGATGGGCCGAATGGCCTAATATCTGTTCCTCTGTCTTATAGTCTTATGGTCTAATCTTGCTTTGTATAGTAGAAAGCAATTAGTTGCAGGTCATTCCACTGTGGAGGAAAAATTGAACTCAGTCCTGCCCACTTTTGACATTTGGAAATGTATATTTTCAGGCAAAGATCAGCTGAGGGTCAGGAGTGCTCCCTAGCCCAAAGACATTGAAGTTAGTTCTCTTGAATGGAATCAGCACAACTAATAATGAAGTATGCTGCCTACAAGAGCAAGCTGGCTAATCGTGTAGCTGCCTTCCCCCTGCATAATCCTGCAAATCTTTCCACCTTAGATAATTATCGAATTCTGTTTTGAAACCATGGTTGAATTTACATCCACCACATTCTTGCGCAGTGCATTCAAGATCCTAAACAATTGCTAAGAGTTTCTCTTCCTGTACACTTTGGTTCTTTTGACGACCGCTTTTAAATTGTACTCTGGTTCTTGGTCCCTGCACAAATGCCTCATGGTTTGAACAACCCTGTCAATCTCCTCTCAATCTTCTGTTCTGGAAGAACAGGCCCGATTGTTTTAATCTACCTTCATAACTGAAGTCACATTCCTGGCAACATATTTTGTAAATAGTTTGCAGCCTGTGCACTATCTTCATGCCCTCCCTAAAGTGCCCAGAATTGGGTCATATGATCCTAAGCTAAGGCTGTAAATGTTTTATAACAGTCACTGGCAAAATCAGCCTTTTCTTAAGGTTTGCTTTAGCTTCCTTGCTTTCACACACCCCCTCTTTAGTTTATAAAACCCAAATCTTTTGACCCTCCGCTGTCCTTTCTACCCTGCTACTTTCAGTGATTTGTGCATATATCCCCCCATGTCTGTCTGCTCTTGTAGCACCTTTTATCTTTTACCTTTTATTGCTTCTCATTCTTCCTACCAAAATATGGACTTCTCAAATTAAATTTCACCTGCTAAGTCCCATTCCACAACACTGTCTTTTGTCTTCTTGGAATCTATTGCTATCACTGTCTCAAACCATGACTTCCAAGTTTTGTATTGTTGCACAGCTAAGTCTAGGTCATTAAAACAAATGAGGGAAATGGAATGGTCTGAATACTGAGCTTTTGGGGAGTGCTACAATATATCCATCTCCAGTACAAAGAACAGCAATATGCCACTGTTCACTGATACCTGGCACTAATTTCCCATCCATGCTGCCATTATCCCTTTTGTTGCAAGGGCTTGAATTTTGCTGACAAGCTTGGTATGTGACACTTTATCAGAATTTTTGGAAGTCCACGCACATCACAACACATCAACTGCATTGCCCTCCATCTAGTCTCCATTACCTTACCAAAAAACTCAATTAGTTAAATACCTTTTTATCTGTAACAAATCCACACAGGCTTTCTTTGATTAATCCACCTTGACTCTGAATTTTATCTTGGATTAACATTTCTAAAAGCTTTTTCACTACCCAGGTTAAACTGGCGAATCTGTATTTGCTAGGATTGTCCTGTGGACCTCTTTGAACAGGATGTACCATTTGGAAGTCATTGGTCCTCTGTCATACCCCTGTAACTAGAGAGATCGGATGATTACGGCCAGTGTATGCCATTTCCATCCTAGTTTCCGTCACTATCTTCAGATAGGTCTGATCTGGTTCTAATGAGTTATCAGTTTTAAGTACAGACTTCTCTAAAACTTCCTCTTTATCACCTTTTCAGTCTGGCCAGTATCTCAACTATTCTATTTTGATGTGACTTTTGCCATATCTTCCTTGGTGCAAAGTGCTCAGTTTATCAGTCATTCATTCAGCTTTCATGCTTAATTCTCCTTTTGGGTCCCTATTTTGTCCTGCTTCTCCTTTAACCACCCTTTAATGATTTAACTGCCTATGAATTACTTTGTGATTCCAATTTTATATTAGCTGACATTCTGTTCTCTTAGTCTCTGCTCTTATTTTATTTTTAAACTTACCAGTTGCAGTTTTCCATAGGTGGTATAGTGGTAATGTCATTGGGTTGGTAAGACTATTTCTCTGGGGCACAAGCTGAGATTTCACCACAGCAGCTGGTGGAATGTAAATTCACTTCTTAAATCTTGAATTAAAAGCTCGCATCAGGAATGATAACTGAAACTATTGCTGATTGTCCCTTCTGGAAGGAAATCTGTTGACCTTACTTGATTTGGCCTTCACACCCATAGCAATGTCGTTGACTCTGAAATGCTTCTGTAATGGTCTGGCAAGCTACTTAATTGTACCCACTTGGTACAGAAAACACGAAAGAATGAAATCTAGATGCCAGAAACTATAACATCACATTCAGCCCCCATGTTGATCTCTACAGCAGTTGGGA